ACTACTACTACTACTACTACTACTACTACTACTAATGAAGTTATTCCAGTACTACTAGTAGTATGTGTGTAGTGCAGCTGGTGGGGGGAGGGAGGAAGTAGGAAGTGGTGTTGCTTGTTCTTGTTATAGCTCTGCCTGGGGGTGAGATGGAACCTTGTGCTGGTGGTTGTTTTCTGTTTATAGGTTACTCCTAATCTTTTCCAGATTTGTGCCAAACTTTGCCCTGCGAATGTATAGGCAGGTGCTCTCTAGTGTCGTGTTCACAACAATTTACAACAAAGAGAGAGTGTGAGTGTGGCTTGCGCTACTCACTATTAATTCGTGATTGAGGCTCTAGAGTTACTAAGTACAATTCCCGTGCATGCCCTTCTTGTTCGTACTTTTTGTATCGTACACTCATTTCACATGATTGCGACCTTTGTATTCGTTTTGACAGGTCAAAAATCTAAAATCTTTCTCCTCGCAAATGGATTCGACAGAAATCACTCAGATGCCATAGTAATTAATTGTTCAGGAGAGAAGATGATGATGACTATTCTTTGCGGAAAAGTTCCTCTAGCGCAACTTCCTACCCTCTCAGTTGTAGTGTTATCATTGCTGATTATTCAAAACTTTACTACTAGATGCGAAGCGAATCTGAAACTACCGACATTTGTGGCGTCGCACATGGTGCTCCAGAGAGAACCTTTATCTTCTAGAATTTGGGGTTGGGCTGACCCGGGAAGCTTGGTCCGTGTGTCATTGGATTCAAAGATATACACGGACACCAATGCACAACCGGATGGGTCTTGGATTATCGAGCTTCCGCCCCAACCAGCGGGTTCGGACCACAAAATTCTCATTGCGGATGGCGAGACTTCTATAACTCTACAAGATGTTGCCTTTGGAGATGTTTACCTGTGTTCCGGTCAAAGCAACATGGAACTGAGCTTGCCAGCAGTGTTCAACGCTAGTGCGGAAATCGAGGATAGTAGTAATTATCCAAATTTACGGCTCGCAACCGTAGACAAGGTGACATCGGATACCCCACAGAAAGATGCTCCCTCAAAGTCTCCCGATTATGCCTGGGCAAGATCTGGTCCTGACGCGATGAATCTGAATGATACCTTTAAATACTACTCTGCAACGTGCTACTTTTTCGGAAGAGAGCTCTACAAGGCACTGGATTCTGAAATTCCGATCGGCCTCGTCACGTCTTGTTGGGGCGGGCAAACCGTAGAAACCTTTTCGTCACCGGATGCCCTCGCGGACAAGAGCTGCGGCGGTACCCGTCCGGTGCATGGCACGGATGGCGGTGGGGGGCGCAACGGAACCACCGTCGTCACCTCCGGCCCGGGTCCTCGGCCCACGCAATTGTGGAACGCAATGATTCATCCGCTGGTCAACATGCGCTTTGCAGGCTCGGTTTGGTACCAGGGAGAATCGAACGCGTTTGACCCAGAGTCCTACGCGTGTCGCTTTCCAGCAATGATTCGCGACTGGAGGCTGAAGTTTGGCCTTTCGGACCTTTCGTTCTTCTTTGTTCAGCTGGCGGGCTTTCACGGGACCAAAGACGACTGGCCCGGTCTGCGTGCCGCGCAAATGGCAGCCACCCAGCTGCCCAGGGTCGGATACGCGGCGGCAATCGATCTCGGCGATCCATCCTCTCCCAGCTCTGCAATCCATCCCCGGCGCAAGCTGGAGGTGGGCCGCCGCCTTTCCCTGAGCGCCCGCACCATTCAGTATGGGGAGCGCGGGGGGCTCGTTTCCACTGGTCCGATCCTGGCCGGTGTTCAGCAACTCCCGACGTTTTCGACCACCCACACGATTCGGTTGTCCTTTTCTCCCGGCACGGCGGATGGCCTACACGTGCACGGCTCTCCGGAGTGTTCTTTGTGCTGCGAGAAACTCCCGTTTCGGGTTCTGGATGCAAACGGAACCTGGTCGCGGGTGGACGGGGCCGAGGTTCGAGATTCCGAAATCGATTTGTCCTCAAACGTTGGTCCGGTCTTTGGCGTCCGGTATGCCTGGGAACTCTATCCAGAGTGCTTGGTATACAACGGAGAGGGCGGACCGGACGATCATGCGGGCATTGCTGGAGCTCCCTGGGAATGGTGTTCGGAACCATCCGGCGATCCTGCTTGGACGGGAACGGCATGCAAAGTGCCGGCTTCGGCCAAAGGGTGAAATATTTGTTCGCTACGGACAACTGTGATCGGGCGATGAAACCGGTGGAAGGAAAGTCGACTCTGCAGCTCAATCAATATTCCAAACAATCGCTCGCAACTCGATCTACAAGCCTGCCAGGGTCCGCAGGCATTCTAATGTGCACCTCCACTCTACACGCTCGGCAGTCGTGTTGGGAATTCGCATTTGTGCGTTGGTCGAATTTGTCTTTGGTTTGCTCGATAGGGAGCAAACAAATCAGAAGAAACAGGACACATTGCCTACCACAATCTCCAGAGCGGCGACGGGACGGGACGAGTCCAAGCCTACCTCTCAGCCCGGGCTGCACCAATATCAAAAGAGAGCACTGCTACGGAACTAAAAGAATGTAGTGCAGTAGGAAGTTGCAAATAATAAAAGGGTAAATCATTAACTATCGATCTTAGCAAATCAATTTTCAAGACACTCGCAACGTCCAGTGGATAAAACGCTTGCATACTTTCCGCCGCAGACGAGCAAGCGGGCAAACACCGTGGCTTCGAAAGGGAGTTCACAAACAGAAAGAACGCAACGGGATCCAGGCACGGCGTTGCATTGCAGGACGCCCGGCACGGCACTGTTCCGTGGCTCCGGTCCGCTCCGTTCCGATACCATCCGATGCATTCTCCGGATCACCTGCGGTAGCGGTCGTCCCGCGGCCTCTTGCGGTAGTCCCCGCGGTCGCGGTCGCCCCGGCTGCCGCCCCCCCGGTGCCGGTCCCTCCCGCCGCCGCCTCCGTAGTGGTCCCCACCGCCCCGGCGGCCGCTCCGGCTCCGGCGGCCCCCCTCGCTCCGCGGGTCGGCGCCACCGTAGTGGTGCGGTTTCGGTTGCTGTTGCTGTTGCTGTTGCTGCTGCTGCTGCTGTTGTTGTTGCGGGGGTTGGCGTTGGTACCGGTCGTGGCTCCTGCCGCCGCGGTCGCCCTTCTGCGGGGTTCCTGCCCCGGAATCGGCCTTGTAGCGGTGCTTCCGGGGATCTCCCCCGCCGGTCTTCTTGTCGCTGCTGGACGATTCGCTCTGTGGTGCGCTGGAGTTGTTCCAGCCGCCGTGCTGCCTCTGCAGTTGCTGGTCGTGGTTCTCGTACCCGCCGCCGCCGTAGTAGGAAGGAGCCGAGTTGTCCTCGTAGTGGCTCTTGCCGCCTCCACCGCCGCTGCCGTAGTATCCGGCATCTCTTCCCTTTCGTTGCGTCGACGAATCTCCCCCGGAGGAATAGGTCTCGTGCGTCGTGTCTCGGTGTTGGTAGTGGCCGTCGTTGTTGTTTTTGTTGTAGTTCTTGTACGGTTTGTGCTGTTGTTGGTGTTGTTGCTGTTGCTGCTGCTGCTGTCGTTCCTGCTCCTCGATCAGCCTGGCGAGGGTCGAACCGGGAGCCGCACCCATCCCCCAGGCCCCACCCACCCCGGCATCGACGCTTGCAAGCTTGTCGGCCGGCGACGAGAGCGATCCTCCGTTCGAGGAAGCTCCGGGTCCGTTGGTCCCTCCGCCCCCGGCCTCTTCCTTCGGCCTCGCGGGTCCGATCACGACGCACACCGGGTTGCCCAGGAGGTTGTTCTGTATGCTGGTGGTCTTGTCGCTGCTTCCGTCCGCTTCGGTGCTTTCTGTGCCGGTCCCGCCGGCATCAGCCACCGCCACGCGGGGGTTTTGTTTCTTGGGTTTCTGTGTGTGTTTGTGTTTGTGTTTGTGTGCGTGCGCGCGTGTGTGTGTGTGTGTGTGTGTGTGAGAGAGAGAGAGAGAGAGAGTTGTGTCATTGCGGCGGAGGAGACAGAAAGAGAGAGCAAAAAAGAGTGAGAGGGGCGGTTTTCCATGCCACACATCACAACACAACACAACACAACTGCCTTGCCACCCCACCCACCTTTGGGACCGCCGGCACGATGGAGGGATCCGGCGCCCGCTTCTGCCGGCTCGCGTCGATGAGTTCCTGTCGGATGACCAGCTGTTGCTCCGCGTATTCCAGCCAGTCCTCCTCGGAGAAGCCGTAGTTGAAAAAGTCCGTCAGGTCCGCGGTCCGCTCCCAGGGCTTGTCCTCGATCTGGTCGAAGCGAATGTCGAAGGAGGTCCGCTTGCTGAAGAGACAGGGATCCCGGCCGGCGTTTTCCTCGCTCTCCAGCCTCCGGGCCAGGACCCGGGCCTCCTCCAGTTTGCGCTGCTTCTCGGCCAGGAGCCTTGCGGCCCGCTGGGCCGGGTCGAGGCCGGCGAGTTCTTCTTCCTCCTTTTTCTTGCGGCGTTCCTCGGCGTCCCCGTCCTCGTCCTCGTCCTCGTCTTTGTTTCCGTTTCCGTTCCCGTTCCCGTCCTCTCCGCTCGGGGCCCTCTCCCCGCTGCCCTCCGGCTGCGAGGGGTTCCGGGACCACTGACGGTTCGGCTGCACGAGCTGCTGCGGCCGGTGGATCCCCCTCCGCATGAGGCCCATCCTCGACCCGCTCAGGACCATCTCGATGGACCGGCCGGCCGCGCTGGCGCCGGTACCGGAGCTTCCGGGATTCTCCCCGCCGGCGGGCTCCCCCACGAACAGGCCGTCGGCCATCAGGTCCTCGTCGCTCTCCGATCCGTCCGAGACGTAAATGTCCTCGTCGACGATCTCGGCCGAGTGGGACGTCGTCGCGTATCCCGAGGACATCTTCTTGGCGGTCTCGCCTCCGCTCGGGTCCGGGGGGAGGCTTTGCTGCTGTTGTTGTTGTTGCTGTTGTTGCTGCTGCTGCTTCCTCGCCATCATCGCCATGCGCGGATCCGCCGGGGGAGGAAGAAGCTGTGGAGGGGCTCCCCCGCCCGCTTCTTCGGCCACCGGAGCCGCCACCTTTCTCTTTTTTCGTCCCATCGCCGCGAAACCGCAAACGAACGGTTGGATGCCGGTGGTTCGGTTCGGTTCGATCCGATTCGATTCGATTCGATTCGATTCGGTTCGGTTCTTTTCGGTTTGTTCTCTTCGCTCGTTCCTCCTCGGTTGGTGGAACGGGCAGCCTGCGTGTTGTGTCTCTGCGGTGCCCTTGCCAAACAACCAATGCTTTGGACAAGCCAACCGTGTCGAATCCCGGAAGGGTGGCCTCTTTTTCGACCGCTGCTGTGTTCCAGGTGCGATTCCCCGGGGGCAAGGATCCCGTCGTGGTGTGGTGTACCTTCCCGTGCGATCGCAACTAAAATCTTTTGTGGCATCGAAAGGTATTCCGGGCGCCGGACGACTGCCCCCGGGGGAGGTGGTTGTCCGGGACGGGCTGTCCGGCACGCGATCGTACGAGTACCGTTCCATACGGTGGGTACCCGTACGTACGTACGCACGCTACTCATACCGTGCGTGCGCAACCGGGTTGGAAGCATGGCACCGTACGTACCGGTACATCGTAGTAATATTCTGAGCGGAAGGTGGTCTGTACACTAACCGGTACGTACTTGTTGGTCCTGCAGTCCTTCTTGGGGAAAATTACCATGGACAATACAACCAAAAATCCCCTCAGTACTCTGGCTGACCTATATGATTCCTTTCCTCAGAATCTGTCAAGACACCACCAGCAGCAACAATAGGAGAATGACCAGTCACCAGCACAGGTGGAGAACAGGGAGATGATTCTTCTTCTTGTTCTTCTTGGTGCTGGCTCCTGCTGCTGCCGTTCCTCCTCTCCACCAGCCGCTGCTGCTGGGGGTGCTGCTGCTGGTGCAATGATCATGGTTTTTGAGTATTTCTTCATGGAAATCCTCCAGACAAGAAACAATAGATAACACAGAAGGTAACCACAAGATAGAATCCATGGTCAACAAGACAAATCCCGAAGAGCATGGTGGGAGAATGAAGAACACACCACTTAAATCTTATGAGGAAGCAAAGAAATACTATGGTGAGTTCCAGCAGTTTGTTTTTGTGACTCTCATCCAGTTTATAGTGGTGGTGGAATGCAAGTTTATAAAAGATACACCACTCTCCAAGACAAGCTAGAATGGCAATTTATCCTGCTATATGGTGCTTCCTCCTTCCAATGAGCAGCAGCAGAAGAAGAGAGGACACAAAAAAGAAGTGGAAATATCATTGATTTTTGATATAGTAGATGCTGCCTGAGGAGTGGTAACAAATATCTACTAGTACTTTGACTGTCAAGAATTCTCAAAAGAACAACCTGCTCAAAAGTACCCTCTTGGAGATTTTAGAGCCAAAAATTGAGTGGGCTGGAAGGTGATGAATAACACTAAAGCCTCTCTCCGGAAAATTTGGCTACTACTCTACAATAGTGGGATGACAGAATTACTAACCACACATCACAGAGAAGAGATGGTTTGCATGGTGCCTATTGGGTTGAAATTTTCTCAAATTATGAATCAAGTAAAAGGACACCACCACCCAAGGATAGATTGGAAAAACTACAAATTCAGTACCAATGCTGGAAGCAGTTCCACATATTGATGCCATAGAATTTCATTCTTTACCAATGACATTGAAATGTTGTTGTCTGAGAAAAAAAGTTATTCAGTCAAATCTCAGGGACCAGTTCACATTCCTTTCTACCATGAGTGGATTGTAACATGGCAAGGCATTGTTCAAGGCAGAACTGTCAACTTATTGTCCAAAAGGAAGACAATCCACACCCTTCATTTGTAATGGTCATGCAGTTTGCAAAAAGGAACGTGAATTGAAGATTCAAACACTACTACTATGGACTAGTAGTAATGGCACAAAATTTTGATGTGAATCAATGCCCTGCCAGAGAATTGGGCTTCTACCTCTTCTACCACCACTTTTACCATAGTCACAAAATGGACAATAGCAATTTTTGTGACAATAGTGTCTGGTTCAACATCAAGTTGTTAACAGCATCCCAACACTGAAGATAATGCAAAATTTATTAACAACAAAATGGACACACCACCAATGCCTTTCAAATAGAAGAGTCCATGGGACAATTCCTTTGAAAAAATCAATGTTGGCTTGAATTCTAAACTAGTAAGATGTATTAAAAAAATGTCTAGATGCAAAGTGGTCCATGAACAGAACTCTGCACTGCTGTTGTCCCAACCTGCTGCAGAATTGAACCAAGCAATAGTAGTACAGGATACTAGTACATAGTATCCTAAACCAATTAGTATGTTTACTCCTAAGATCCAGTTTTGGGGATGCCACTATCATTCTGACTGACAGGATGGCAGAAAATGCCACAGTCTGACCCATTGTACAACAAGGAACATTGTTGCCATTAGTCCTGGTGCAACAAGAAGCACTTCCAGCAACTCACACTGCACCAGCACACAAAACTTGCCATTTCCGGGATTCATTACAAACTTCTAGTTCCATGATCTGCTTCTCAATTATCAAATGTTTGGTTTGACATTGGAAATTAAAAAGATATTCCAATTTGTGCTGGGGTTCTTGATGTTGCTGATGTCATGGAAGACTAATGCTCTAGCACCTGGAGAAAGGGCTACCAAAACTGTGACACTTGGATGCTCTCCTCCTGCTACAAGCTTGCAATTAAATGCATGAAAGACAAATAAAATACAACTGAAAAAGAAGCATTGTTTTTAATCAATGGACAAGTCGTTCCAAGGGTCAAAACCATGTGCTATAACTCCTTTTGAAAGGAAATTGTGCACCTACAGCACTAGCAGAGACTTGGTAATTGTACTCACTTAAACTGAACACAAAGGAGTTGCAGCTGTAAACAATAGATACTAGATTGAACAGTAATCTGTTGCCTGACTGCAACAGAATTAGATTTATAAAAAAAGTGAAGTAATAGATGATATCATGATCTTGATCTCTTGACCAAGCTGCAGCAAATTATTATTTTTGTAAAAGCTCCTTCCAGTATCTTTTACACAAAACTTTCTGAACCAGAAGGTTCCTGAAAGTGTTTCTTAGGTGTCAATATAGTCAAAACATGAAAAAAAGGAACAAAGTTTTGGGAAATGCCAAAAAATGACTTTTTGAGTTCCTCAACTTATATGGTCTACAGAGCTGTTCTTTGGAAATGACTGAATGGTCACATTAGTGATTTAATAGCAACATTCATGATGATTGAGTGACATCAGACCATATTTTGTGTTTTGAGATGAATCCAGCCATTCAGTTGTTTCMAAAAACTAGCTCTGTAGAAAGTTCTAGGAGAATTTGTAGTAGTACTACTAGTATTAGTTCAGTGGAGGTTCTGCTGAACTTGAAATTCAAATTTATTACTTGAAATTAAAACTATCTTCCTAGCAGCACTATAGATACCATTTTCAATTGTTGTTTTGAAATACACAGTACTCCTCTGGTAATACATGCTGTCATTTCTGAGGATTCTGTACATAAAAATCAAGGAACATCCATCATCACAAATGGAAAATAAAAACAGCCAATGATTTCTTTGCCCTGTATTTTGTTGGAAACACATTAGTATGTTAGTTATCATAGGCTTGAAGATGATGCAATTTGCAAAAGAATTTTGCTATGCTCGGCCATTTTCATTTTTCAGCAGAAAATAATGAAAATCCCTCTAGTCAACAACAAGAATTGTTCAAACGGAAGGTACTTCAACATTTTCAAATTTCTGACAAAGTTTTTGTGTTATGCCAACCAATTATAAACAAGCTGCCTTTCAAAAACTGTTCCCAAAAGTAATTCTTCCTCACCACCAAGAAGGTACTACTAGTAGTGACTGTTGCTGGTTAAGATTGTGAGAATGGTGTTATTGGTTTAAATATTAGTACGATCCTCTGCTTACTATCTGGAATCCATTTCAAAATAAGTACACCTACACCAGCCCTCCAAATGTCAACAAGGGTTGGAACATCTATATTGTTGTTTCTTTCACAAAACATTCTATCTGCCACAGATCATAGTTTCAGTTTGAAATCCTGTGAACAAAGTACCTAGTAGCAGTACTAGTACTAGTACCAGTATGAAAATGACAGGTCAAATCTCTCTGAGTGGAAAATATAACAACAAGAAGTACAATCACACTGCTACTACTACTAGTACTAATATCATGCAATTCAATATAACCAACAACAAACATGTTCTTTCATAAAATAGAGGAATCCATAGACAATAAAATGCATTTGCTCAACAAGGAGACACATATAACAATACAGGCAGGGAAAAGAGCAAAGAAAAAGAGATAGAAAAGACTGAGTGAAAATGTGCTGATGAGCAAAAATGTCCCAAATGTCAACAATGCACCTAAATCAATATTTTTAATTGACAACTACTACTACTGGTAAAATCTTTCACTCTAACTTTGCCCTCATTCTGGTTCACAACACATTACTACTACTAGAGAGTGATCCCAGAACCTATCATTCTACTAGTATTGTCAACAATCAACCTGTATCCAGACACCATTGTTGTCATTGGTTAAATTACACTGTTTACAAATGTGGAGTTTGAATGGTTGTTGTTCAAAATTTGGACCTAAAATGCCATTTTAAAAGGCCAACTGATTATCAGGACTTACTTTCTCCAAGAAACTAATTCCAATGTCTCTGATTTTGGTATGCAGGAGACTGTTGTAAGTAGTATGTCAAATTAAAATGACCACCCAAAAATGCTGATGCCCTCCTGTTGAGTTTAAATCATCTGAAACTGCTGGTAATTTTCCAACTGAATTCTATCTACTACTAGCTTCCTGATCTGATTCTACTGGCCTCCCATCCAAATTACTGGAGATAGCATGCTGTCCATTCAAAAATATTTATAGAAATAAGGTCAATTGATGCTTCAAAATGCTGTCTATTTGAAAACTTAGACTGGAGAAAAATCAGATTCACTAGTAGTAAGAAGAAGAGCAATTATTGCTTTGGATTAGTTTGAAAATGATGCTACTAGTCCTGAAAATGTGGCAATGCTAGTTTCATTGTTTTGAATAGTAGAAATAGACTTGAAAAAGGCCAAAGAAGTGAATTTCACTGATTATACACAAATACAAAAGAAGTTAGTATGTAAGTGAATGTGCTGGGATTCATTACTAGTACTTGTTCTCAAAGGCATAAATAAAACAGCAATTGAAAAGGGCATTATCACCCCCAGCAGTGTGAATCAACAGGAGTATGGCTCTGGTGCTCCCTTGCAATTTGTACACCATCTTTTCCTTCTTGGGTGTTCAAGTACTAGTAATACTAGTAGTACTAGCATGAATAAGTTGGATGTACCACCAGGTTTCTGCGTCCATGGTGGTGTGTGGTAGTCCCTTGATTTTCCAACTATTTGGACTTTGGACAGGATGGATGTATGAATTTATTACAAGAAAACATTGTCTAATTTTGGTGTACCATTACACCCACCACACACACAAGAAACAAACAATAACATCAAACTTTTGCATTTGAGATGGTGGAGAAAAAGTCAGGACTGAATTAGGAGAGTGATAATTTCCGGTTGTTGTCATAGTAGTAGTACTACTACTACTTCTGTACTACAGCACCACTCCTATACATTCTTAGACTAGTAATTACTACAGAGGATATTATTTATTTTCATCCATCTTGTACCCAGTGCAACTGCTGGAAGTACTTCTCTTCCCAGTGCAATGGGGCTGGCTTTGCTAGTGCCTCCCCTAGTAGTAGTTCATGATTTTAAAAACATTTATTGTTATTTCTTAGCTCTGCTAGTAGTAGTAGTAATGATACTGGTGTTCCCTAGTATTGCTCATCTGAGCATGACCCCAGAGGGACACCCCCTTCCTCTTTTTGCACAGTTCAATAGATAGAAAGCATTGCACACGCGTTCAGAAAATAAGTACATTATTTCCTCTGGCTTCAACTATATGAACCAAAATTGTCAAGGAGATGCAACTAATAGCAACCACCCAAGAAGAAGTAATGAAGCTTGAAGGGAAGAAAGCATGAGCCCAAGAGGAGCACCAAGAAACCACTACTACACCAGCATCTTGGGCGCTGTATTGGCATGCAAAACCAGAAGGCTGTTCTGGTGCGTGCTATGAAATACTTGGTTTTAAGAAATAAATAGGATTACTTAGACTAGCTCAATGCGTCAACGAGCTAGAATTTGTTGACGATTGGAACATACACTAGTAGTGCTCTCGATTCATAAGAACATGATCGTAGCTGTGGTTGAACTGTTGATTAATTATACATTTTATTCCAATTGGCCTGTGTGATAGACATCGTTCATCTACGGATGTTAGCAAACCAGCCAATCACCGCGTACCGACGACACTGCAGAGATAGATGTTCCAGAACAAGGAAACCGTGCTCGTCCACAGGACCCGGAGCTCGAACGGAACCAACCCAAAGTTGATCATGTTTGATAATGGAAAGACCCGAAACTGGGTCATTATGATCCCCCAGAGGTGGTTTCGGCATTTTTCGGTGGCGTGGCTCAAGTTTGGAAGGCGGTGCATCTGTATCACCGACTCGAAAGCACCATACACATAGATATAGAGCGGGAAAAAGACGGCGGTGCCCAGGGTTTGGTCCAGAAAGACCTGTGTGACGGTCTTCTTGAGGGCGGAAACGTTGTAGAAGCGTTCGTCCATCTTCTTTCCGACGGTATTCAGAAAGGTGTACCACAGATGGATGAACGGACCCGTAAAAAGCATGTTGACGAAAAAGAAGGTCGCGACGCGGGCCGCATTCAAGGCCTTCGCCGTGGCCTTTTTTTCTATCAGCTGTGCAATCACGTCACCGAGTGCAGCAATCGTTGCCGACGTTAGGCCTTTCGCCCGAAACGGTGTCTCGGTACAAGATTTTAGGTACCATTGATACGCAGCCTTTAGCGGAGAGGTATGGCGTTTCTTTGCGACGAACGCCACGGGTTCTTCTGGTTCGTCGTTGGTTTCGTCGCTGCAGAAGCTGGATACGACGTACTCGGTGCCACGGGGCTGTGTCCCGGGTTGCTTCGATACATAGGTCTTGGCTAGTGTCGATGCATCGGCGAGTGAAAATGCCGCAACCAACACCAGCACGGAGAGTACAAAAAATTTCGTCGGCGCAAAAAAGTGGGATCGACTTGTCGTCATCATTTTCCGATTGGATAAGGCGAAACAGGTGAACTTGCTTGATAATACCTTGATGGTGTCTCGTTTTGTGTCAGCTACCTTAGCTTGGCAATGTACAAGACTTCAATGGTATGGTATCCACAATCAGTGATTGATTTTCGTTGATTCTCAACACTAGTATCACTGTATTTATAACACAGATGCCGATGTCCGCTTGTCACGCAAGCAACTCGCGTCAAAGAGAAAGAACTATTCGGAGTACAAAAATGATTCAAAATTATTCTCGAAGGAGAACCAAAATTCATTCCCTACGAATTCACGAGAAAAACTTGGTCCATGTGGCAACATTTTGTCGCCTTTGATTGGTTGAGACGAACAACGCTTGCAGCTTGAGTTTTTCGCATTCCCAATTACTATGACGCACGATGGCGCGATGCCAATGAAAATCGAAAGAGGAAAACCCGTCTGATTTTACTGTTTTTAATGACACCCCATCAACGATTACTTTTTGTGGCCAACGGTTTCCGGCATCAATTCACAGTTCCTCGTTTTTTAGAAAATCAAGGTTCCGTCGAAGCAGATTCTATGTTTGTACGGTTCCCGTTCTTCTCACCACCTTACGGTACCGTTCATAACACATACTACCCAAAAAGGATCTACGACGTACGAACTACACTAATAACTTTGCAGAAAGCTGGAATGCAGACTAAGACGGAACCGAGACGCCGGAACGAGCCATGGCACTTCCCCGATTCTCAGAAGACGAAATAGAAAAGAATGTGAGCTCGCAAAGGTCTCTTGCGCTGTACCGAATCCAGCTTCTGGGATCCGAGGGAGATTGTACCGGCGATGGTGATGACGGAGAACAATCTGTCGGTTTTGCGTCCTTGTTCTTGCCCCTTCTTCGTCACTCCACGGACTACTTTCTTGTGCTTGTTTCCAAAAGTCAGAGACACGACGAGAACGATCCTATCGCACTGTCCGAAGCTCCCGAAACGAAGCATCTTGTGCGGCTGCTGAAACTATATGGACGAATATCTCAGCTCGATCCGACTCTCGACGAAGAGATCGGAATGCAGGGAGCCCACCTCTGCCTTTCCAGGATTATCAAGCTCGACATGTTTTCCATCGATTGCTGCCAGGACTCCGAAGAGAACCAGGACACGGTCATCGAGATCCAGGACTTGGCCGCCGAAATTGCTTCCTACTCCAAGTCGTTCCCGCTTCCGGCTAGCCCCTTTCTACACGAGGACTTGCTGGCGCGCCTTCCGCTGGTGTTCAACATCCACCCGGTGCCACACCCGGGAAGCAACCGAAAGGACGGTGATTCCGCAGCAACTACGATCCTCATCCACCAGGTGACGGAACGGCAGAGTGCCCAAAAAGACGTCGGGTTCGTCATGTGGCCCTCGGCGGTGGTTCTCTCACGCTGGCTGGTTTCTAACCCCGACGAGGTGCGGGGAAAAAGGGTTCTCGAGCTGGGTTCTGGGTGCGGTCTTACCGGACTGGTGGCCGCGAAGATCCTTCGGGATTCCGAACCGCGGGAAGGCAGCAAACGATCCTTGGCGGATACCGTGTCGCGGCCGGCAGCTTCAACCAACAAACCATCGCCATCCGGTCGCGTGATTCTCTCCGATTTCAACGAGACAGTGGTCAAAAACCTAAGGGGCAACATCGCGCTGAACCGATTGGAAGGGGTGGCCGAAGCAGAAGGCCTCGATTTTTACCAGCAGGATCCCGGTGGGAACGGCTGGGTGACCGTCGACGGAATCGAGCGAACGGAGGGCGCCGATCTGGTGATTGCCGCGGACGTGATCTGCCAACCGGAAGACGCCTTTGCCACGGCCCGCACCATTGCGAGTGCCCTGAACGAGGGCTGCAAGGCCGTTGTGGTGAGTGCCGATTCGAAGCACCGGTTTGGTGTCGAAAAACTAGAAGAGGCATGCGCAGCAGCGGGATCCCTGTCGGTGCTGTCAAAAACCAGCGTCTGTGACTACCTGTCGCCGCAGAAGCATCCCTACGACCCGACTTGTAGTCCGGGAGACGAGGACATGGAAAAGACTTCTGGTTTTGTTCACGGCATGGCCCTGACCATGTACACGATACTAAAGACCGGGGAAGGCACCCCATGACGAGCGGGTAGTTTTAGTTTTATTTCTATGCATGCCAACTAGAATACAAACTTTGACATTTTGCAGCCCTGGCCATCTGATGTTTGTATATTCTGGATCATGCATTTAAAATTGATCGTTGCGATACTGCATGCTTCCCAGCTCTAGGATGTGTCTTGCCCGCTCTGCCACTACAAGTAGTCTCCATCCCTTTCGGTAGCAAAGCTTTACTCGAAAACTACCATAGTGCTTTGTAAAAGCAGGCCACGAGTACTAGGGCCGGCCAATATATGTCTACAAGTTGAAGGTAATTTCATTTTGAATTGTTTTGAGTTGTCTGGTCGTGTACAGGTACCACAAGGTTACGTTACCGCATCGAAGAGCTAAAACCTAGATACCTTGTTCATACCGTTTATATACACTTAAAGTACGTACGTACCTAGTATGCGGAAGACAGATAGAATATGGACTTAGATTTTCGTTCGGGACCGGACCGATTTTGAACTTGATGACGTGTGACCTTGGAACTTGGAGGGTGCCATCATCCCGTCCTTGTGACAAAAAATGATTGAAGCCTGAAACGTCTTTCGATTAGGAGAAAGAACGAACTACAGTTATGGTACGACACAGCTACAAAATACAGCAAGGACAGCTACGATACGGTACCAGGTACGATCTGATGCACAAGAAAGAGTTCGAGGTTGGTGCGCTAAATACAATTGTCGTTCGATATTCTAGCCACACATTCGACGTCGATACCTATACAAAGAGCAACTGGAACTTCAGTCGTCGAACACAAAAGTGCTAATTACATTAGGCACGACGAAGAGAGATCGAGGAACAGCACGGATACGAAAAACACCACGGTCGAAAAACCATGACGAAGTCTTTGTTCAAGTGTTTGGTTTGGTCGGTTGCGGGTTTCATGGCTGCGACAGCTTTGATCCCTCCGGTACCCGAACACAACCGTCCTGTATGTTGCAATACTCCGATTCGAAGCAACCCTCAAAACATCCTCAATATTCACAGCAACAATAACGATTGCATCCACCACAATTCTTGCAGACAAAGCACTGCATTGCGTGTTCTTTCCGAGGAGGTTGGCGAATCGCTCTCTTACATCAGCAAGAACGAGGAGGGAGAAAAAGTTCCGTACGTGGTGGCACGCGGGGATGGTTCGGTGGGTGGTGGAGGTCTGGCCATGCCGAAAGCAAGCCGACAAACCAACGACGAGGGCGAAAGCGAACTAGACGAAGAATTGCGACGACCCAAGGTTGGCGCGGAAATGCCGCAGGGGTGAGTGATTAGTTTAATATTCAATATGTTGTTATTCCTTGCGTGTTTAGTGTGGCGACAAGGCGAAAAACGATCGAGCTCGTTCGTGACTTTGGATTTCGGTCTTCTTCGTTCGTTAACAATGGCTTTTTTCTTTCTTGCAGTCGACCTTCTTGGTTCCGAGTCCCAGCTCCATCTTTACTGGAAGAATCGCGGTATACCGAGGTCAAGAGCTCTCTGGAGGATCTGAGCTTGAATACGGTTTGCGAGGAAGCACAGTGTCCTAACGTCGGAGAATGCTGGTCGGGCGGAACGGGAACGATTATGCTTTTGGGCGATACCTGTACCAGGGGATGCATGTTCTGCGCGGTGAAAACAGATACCAAGCCACCCCCACCCGATCCATTCGAGCCGTTCAAGACCGCAGACGCTGTCGCAAAATGGGGGGTCGATTATATTGTTCTGACGAGTGGTAAGTGAGCTCGCAATGGACCATGATGAGCGCGCAGTTTAGGAATTTCATTTAGAACAACGAGATCTGCGATTCGGAAGTTAACAACCGGAGCTCTAACCGGATGCCGCATACAATATTCTTTGAATCGTGTTCACAGTGGACCGTGACGACATCGACGATGGAGGAGCGCAACATTTTGCACACACGGTGGAATTGTTGAAGTACAAAAAGCCCGAACTTTTGGTCGAATGTTTGGTGTCCGACTTTCAGGGAAATCTCACCTCGGTGGAAACTCTGGCCGTTTCGGGATTGGACGTTTACGCTCACAACGTCGAGACAGTAGAACGGCTGCAGAAGGTAAGAAAGTGTTGGGTTGCTTTTTCAAAACTGCAAACCATTGTTGGCACACAACACAGGATCTCAAATTGCTTGTCTTTTAGTTTGTTCGGGATCCAAGAGCGGGATACCAACAGAGTCTGTCTACCCTGGAACACGCCAAAAAGGCCAAACCGGGATTGTATACAAAGACCAGTATCATGCTGGGACTTGGTGAGACTAAGGAGGAGGTGCTTCAAACGATGAAAGATCTTCGCGAGATTGATGTTGATGTTGTCACTTTTGGACAATACCTTCGACCAACTGAAAATCACCTCGCGGTCGTCGAATATGTCAAGCCAGAGGTGTTTGATTATTACAGAGAAGTGGGGGAAGAGATGGGATTCAAATACGTTGCTAGCGGACCACTGGTACGAAGTTCCTACAAGGTAAGGAGGTTTTTAGCCTTTTGTTGCACGGTACTGTACTTTTTGCGACATGTGTGTGGTTTGTGTGAACGTACCTCAAAGCATTTTTTTCGCTTCGAAAAAGGCCGGTGAATTTTATCTCGAACATATGATCAAGACAGAACGATCTGCGCAGCAGAATGAAGAACCCGAAGTAATCGTAGAATGCGAGTAAAAAAAAATCATAGAGTATGCTATAAGTTATCTATCAATAATAATAGATTTACTGGTATTGGTGACGAATATCGGACTCTATTCTTTGGGTTTTAAAACTTTAAATGGATTGTTCTCTGCAAATAGCTGAGTATAATGATTACAGCTCAAGCTTTGCCCACAGTGGTACCAGACTGTTGAACGCAAAAAAAACTATCAAAATTGTTGTTGTTCTAATGATAGTATTGAAAGAGGCAAAATGATTGCTCGTGTCAGACACGGGGAAAGGCGCAGGAAGTTTCCCAAATACGGACTAAAATTCTAGCTCTTGAAATAGGAACATAAGTGCGCATGCAATATGACAGACGAAGATCAACGCCACTAATTGAGAAGGAATTTTGTGAAACATCTTCTCAACGCGCTACTACGGCATGTAATTCCAGAGTAATAGAGATAACTTTTTCTCAAGTGATTAGCATGGCCAGTGCATGAAAAGCTTATATTTCACCTCCCGAAAGATATTTTCGTATGCGACTCCCACGACTCGCCTTTGCTCTCACAACCGATTCAAAAACCTTCGTAAAGGCAGCATGGAGAGCGTTGCTATCCTCGAACCAAATATCCAAAGAGCTCTTCCATCGATTGCAACGAGAAAACGGGCCTAGCTGCTGTGGCTGTAATTTCTTTTCAAATCGGAACATGCCCGGCGGCTTCAAATCTGGGCTTTCACAGATCAACATCAGCCGTCGCGCCGATGTATCCACTCTTGCATTGTCAGGATCCCTGTCAAGTGTCAGGTTCTCAAGTCTGCACAGTGTAACAACGCGTCCCTTGCCGTTTGGACGGCGTTCCGGCTCTACCAGAACAAGATCCTCGTCCATTATAACGAGGTACAAGGACTGCCATGTTACACCCTGAGATACTACTTTGGCTCCCTCTTCCGAAAACAAAGGAGCCATCGATGGAGGAACTTCGCAGACACAAGGATAAGCCATCTTGCCGACAAGAGTAGTCACCGATCCTGGCTTGAGCTCTTCGCGTAGGGTGCCAGGTTTGCTCTCGGTGCCAAACAAGGCGCTGTCGAACTCGTCCGATATCGGTGAATATATTGTCTTGCCGTCGCTCGGATTCGAGACCATGAGCTCGGTGGTTCCGTTGAAAATAAAACCACCGATTTTCTGATCCCGAAGCATATCCTTGTCGTTTACGAGCCCGTTGATCAGCGAAACCAAGGAATTGAGCTTCAGCAACGCACTGGTGCTCTCTACAGCATTGCTAAAGGCCGCACCAGCTGCGTCTCCCTGCTCCAAAGGCGAACAGGCAGTTGCACGGGCACCGACATCGTTGTAGGAACATAGGGAAGAAACCGAAACGTAAAGCGATACGTGTCCCGTTTTGTCGGGTACCCCTTTGGTAAAATAAAGCATGTTATGCAGTATCGATTCAACCGGGGCACCATCACTGCCATTGTTTAGGCGAGCGATCATGTCCATAATTGCCCCATAATACAACACGTTTTTTTCTTCTTCGGTACCGTTTGCGGGCACGAGATGTTTCAACTTATTCCAAAGCCTTCCACAATCAAACAATGTGTCGATAGTGGCCGGTATATCCGCGAGGAAGATGGAAGCTTGGCGGTATCGAGTTTTGATTGCCTCAGAAGCGCGCATGATGGCCTCAGAATTACCGCGAACGCAAGTCAGCAAGGCATTGGCAGCAACCAAGTCATAATTGAGTTTCCACGCCCCGCTGTTGCCAGGTACAGCATTTAAAATGCACCGCTGAAAAGACACAATGACTTCATTCATGTAATCGAAACCGATTTTTCCTCCTTCTAGTGCACCCAACGACAATCTAGAATCCACAGTCGAAGCGATGGTTCCTCCCATTCCTCTGTCGTCGAAGTCATCCTCAAAGGAATCGGTAGAGCTGCCCCGAAATGAATCAAATCGTTTGTCCTTCGGAAGGTTTTCTCGGTATCGCTTAATGTCCAGTCCAAAGAGGAGATCGACCAAGAACTTCTCATTGAGTACCGAAACAGCAGAATAAACAGCCATCACTGTGAGGTCTTGCAAGTCAGATACCTCTCTGTTAAGGGTGAAACACTGGAATATAGCCTTCCGGTAGGGATTATGGCGTGATCGTGCGACGAGACCTCCATCTTGACCTGTGAAATTGAAAATTTCCGAAAGAGCTGGGGCCAAAACAAACACACACGCATCATCCTGATTGCCCGTTTGGTTCCCGCTTCGTCTTCCAGAGACTTCTTTCCGACCCGTAACGGTCCCAAACACGTACGTTTCTCGATTTTGATCGAACACCATTTTGCCATTCTCATCGAATCTATCGATGCGAATCGTAGCTCTTCCGTCCTTTCCCATACAGGCTACGTCAGCTTTCGCACGAATCATGGTTTCACCCGCCGCGTTTGGCGACAGGGGATGAAAGACGGCCGTGAACAGCAATCGTAACAACGGCGGATTGGTCAAAAATTGAAAGGCAGCCGCTAAACAAAAAAGTGCGGACTTGGCGGGTCCCGATATGACGGCCTTCTCGGTGGCAGTGGCATCCGATTGTTTGATTTGACTCCCGAGGCTGTGCTCGTTCAGGGTGTCTGCAAACAAGACTTCGGCGGCTACAGGAGAGCGCTGGAAATATAACAAAAGGGGTTGTAATAGAAGAGGATAAGCAAACGTTGCAAACATCATTTCAATGACTTGCTCGTTCAAAGACGTAAGACCAACTTTGAACATGTCGTCCAAGAGCAGCAGCTCGTCCTGGAGATTGTAAGAAGTGTCGTTGAAAATCCCGGTGTATTTTTTCCGTCGAGCAAGTTCTCGTGCTCGAGCTATCTTTTCGTTTGCCTTTTTTGGAATGTCATCGTCGTTGCCACTGCCATTGGCATTGCCGATGGATTGTCCGACCTTGCCAGCAATTTCCATGTCCCGGAACTGTTCTTCTAGCACACCCCAAAGCTGGGCTAGCTTAGTGAAAATGGGAGACGCTAGTTTCTCCACCCGAGACGGCGTGCATACGTACTGAGCAATCGCTAAACGCTCCCGCATGGGCAGTGCCTTTGCGTTGTGCAATACTCCATCGGGCGAGTCTCCACTTGCAGCCTCTAGATTCACCGCTTCCGCAACTTCGCCGGGTTCTTCCTCCTTTGTTTTGGCTTCCACGGTCGACAGTCGAAGCGTGTTCAGACATATGTTCATAGCCGTGGTCCGTATGAAGGAATCGTGGTGGGCAGCGCAGAATTCCAATGCCCTTTCGTACAAAGGAAATTCGACTTTGATGGTTTTGACGGCAACGGGGCGATTTGCCGGTAGCTCGGGCTTGGTTCGAGAGTTTGACATAATCTCGTCCAGTGGAATCTCTTCGTCGTCATCGTCGTGGCAATCGATGTTGTGTTGCGCCTCTTCGAAAAGATCCGTATCACTTACAATGGCGGTATCGGCGGGATACGTCAAAAAGAACTGGAGGGTTTCGGCATTCATTCGCATTGCCAAGGATTTCAGAAAGGAAACAAAAGTTGTGGCCAATTCTCCTAGCTCGGGACTTGCAAACCTTCTTGGCGACATAAGATTCGGAGTGCCGGCCGAGTTTTTGTTACCACCTTCTAGCTTGCTTCGCTCGGCAATATGGTACTCCTCCAGGGGAATGCCAATCAGCTGGTTGATGTGATTGTTCGATAAGATGAAGAAGAGGGAGGTAGCTCGCTTGACATTTTGAACTAGAATCGAGGTCGATTGAAAGCCCTGTATTGCCACGGCCAGCGGTGGCAGCAGAACAGTATTTGCGTATGTTTCTGATTCCTTTATTGTATCCAAAGCTTTCATTATCGCTTCGGATCGTTTCTTCAAACCCTTACTAGTTTCTTGTTCTTTCTGCTCTTCTTCCGCTTTGCTCTCCTCCAGGATTTTTTCGTAGCCCTCTAGTTCGGCTTTTACGGTTTGCTTTCGTTTCTCGAAAAATCCCGGCAGATCGAAGGCCTTTCCGGTCAGGATATCTGCAATGGTCGACAAACCGTTCCGTTCGAAGAAGTGATCGTAGACATATGCATACGCTTTCTTTTCCGAGATCTTTTCCCGTATTTTCGCGCACTCGTTCTCCAGCTGTTCTCGTCGTCGCTTTTCCTCCTCGTCTACAGAGTCTCCACTCCGGCTTTCGCTGGCTTTCTCGTCATCTTTTTGCTGCTTCACCAGCGCCCGGAGCTTGTCTTCTTCGCTCTGCACGTCCGCTGACGCACGCTCGCCGATCACGACCAGCTCTGAAATCCGCCGGATTGTTTCGACGAGAGACGCCGTCTCGGCGTCGGTCATGGGAGCGAACCGGGCGTTGGGTTGCCGGTTCTTCCGAAACGTCTTTTTGGGCTGTGATTTTGTGTTTTCGCTCTTATTCTCTGCGGGCGCACCCGCGGCGGCGGTTGCCGGCTCTGCTTCCACCGGTGCCGCTTGTCCTTGGTGTTCGCCTCTCCGAAACCTTCGGAGCCATCGCCGCTGCTGCACCTCGTTGTCGCCGCTGCCTGCAATGGCATTGATCATGCCATCGAGAAAAACATTCATCGAGGCATCCACCGAGAGTTTCAGTTTGTCGAGCAACGTCGAAATTTCTCTCAGCGGAGAGGAGTTCGACCCCTCCATGCTCGAACCCAGACTGCCCGGGTCCGACGCATTGTTGCGTCGGAGGAACATGGTGTCGTTGTGTCTGTCTTGTCGTGTTGCAACGTGCACCAACCAGGATCTGGCTTACTTGTCCGAACCGGCAGTAAGAATCCTTTCGATAAAAGTCTTGGTAACACGCTAGAATAGAGACGAATCGCGTTGGCCGATAAAATAATGACGGAATGCCTCGCTGGTAGCCATTCGTTGTTCTACGGTGCAATCACTGAAAACGAAACCGAATTGAGCAACGTCAATGCCAATTCCAGAACTCCTGTTTGGTTTGGCCAGGGACTACCACCCTTCCTGATTTGTTGCGTTTGTTATGGCACTCGACTGGTGACCTAACCATTGTGAAGATGAGGAACAGATTACGCTAAGGGGGGGAAATCCTTCGATGTAAGAACCGTACCGTACGTAGGGTACCGTAAGTAGACCGTACGTACCGGTACATGAACTTGGATGAAACAAAAACAGGTTTTTGTTTTTTTGAATTTTCTGGCATGCTCTCTCAGCTTTCCTAAATTCGAGTTCTACAGTTTCATTGTACCTGCACCTACCGTACGGTACCGTACTGGCGGCATCCATCCCTGGCCTGACACTGCGCTGGCTACCCAAAAAGTACCAGTACGTACGATGGTGTACGTACCCCAAGAGTTAAAACTACTGTAACTACAGTACCAATATTACAGTAGAAGTATGGTAGTACCTCCGCATTTATTTTTAGTTTCCACATAGATTATTAGTAGTACTCGTACGAACTTGTACAGTAATTTTGAAGAAAATTATTTTGAATCACGTGTTGAACACAAGATGGTACTACGTACGTTTCGGTTCATAGATATGTATCGTATTACAGCTCTGTACTAGCTACCGTAGTATTACATGCAAGGGGGGGGTTCTGAGAAAAAAAAAACAGTTCTGCAATTCAAAAAAGTGATTCGCGTTTTGTCGTGTACGTTTCTGAAATTACATATCACAATATGAAAGCAGAGACGATGCCGACCCGACTAAACTAAACCGAGCATAACCAAGCGACAAAAGTCAGTCCTTTTGTTCCTACACAATGATAGCGTATCGAAAGCATCTGTTGGCTCGAAACAGAGGCCACACGGGCGAAAAGATAACTCTGCAGCCACCAACACCTGGAGATGCAAAAGGAAAGCACACGCGTACAGCGGGTTTGTCCTCCTGCGTTCGGAGATTAGCGATGAAATTCCGATTCTACTCCAATAAGACCATGTTTTCCATAAAAACAATTGCTCTGGTTGTTCTAGCGTTGGTTTGTGTTGGGATTTGGGACCGGTTCTTCTATCGAACTGGCTGCGTTCGGCTCGGAGGAGACCAACCATGGCTCCCTTCTCTTTCTTCACCGTTGTTACCACCGCCGCACCCTTCCACTTTTGCCGTTGTGATCAACACCTACCGGCGACCAGAACGGCTGCGAAAGACCGTTCGACACTACGCCGAAACCTGCGGAAGGCGATACGGCGTGGGCCGTGTATTCGTGGTATGGGCGGACCAACACATCGAGCCGCCCACGGACGACTTCTTTTGGGGTACCGGTGGCCCTCCCCTGCGGGCCCTGCAGGGTTACAACAACGGCGACGACACCGCCACTGGTTCCGACGCGAACCGGGTCCCAGTGGAGGTGCTGAAAAAACACAAGAACTCCCTGAACGTACGGTTCGAACCCATCCCGCAGCTCCAGACGCGGGCGGGGACCACTTCGGTCTTTATGGTGGACGACGACGTACGGGTGGCCTGTCCCTCGCTGGTCGAGGCCTTTTCGGTCTGGAGGGAGAACCCCGACACGATGGTTGGCTTTTACCCACGGCTCGCACTTCCGCCCATCCGGAAGCATGATACCAACCCTTACGATGCGCCGGCAGGGCACGGAGACCTCTTGTACCACCTCTGGCCGAAGGTGTACCTGGCACAAAAATTCAACATCATCCTCACCAAGGCTAGTTTCCTGCACTCAAGGTATTTGGAGCTATACACGAGCGACGACTCCTTTCCGAGAGAAATCAAGGACTACGTCGACGAACACATGAACTGCGAAGACATTGCCATGTCCGTGCTGGTCGCAAACTATACCAACCAATACCGCACCACTAGCAAAGACCACACCGACGGTTCCACGCAAAACCCCTCTCGTCCAGTTCTGTACGTCGAGGGAAGCGTTTCCGATGTGGGCATGTTTGGCGGGATCAGCTCTGGACCGGGACACTTTGCGACGCGCACAAATTGCCTGAACGAGATCACGAGCATCGTTCGGGCCCGGGGATGGGGATCGCCGCTCGAGAGGGACTTTGACCTGGTGGAGAATTCCTGTGGGCAGCACTCGCCCGGATTTTGGTGGCAATCTGCCCCCAGCAACTCCCTAGAGTGGCTGGGGCTGGTCAATGTGTTGTCGTAATGGTGAGCGCCATGCGACAAAAATGAATGGGGTAAACTATTATTTTGGATTGTTTTGATCTACACTACGAGCAAGCAGTAGCAAAGAGATGCTGTACTACACTTCAAGCTACTCAATAAAATATACCGATAGTTGTTGTTTTTGGATACGCTACCGATCTCGCTTGCTCCATCCCTTCGTGTTTCATTGTGCTAGATTTGCTTCCTATACTAAGTTATCGATTAGATGAAATTGCAGTTTATTGAGTAGCAGGGACAAAGAATGGCGGTGGGTCTTTGCACCATGGATCGTTGATTTTCCGTGCTATAACTCCATTGTTCTACGTGCTGCCCGGTGCTTACATCATCCTAGTGTGCCTTTGATGGAGTGAATAAATGATTGATTGATTGATTGATTGATTCATACCGATGCGATTGAATGCAACCTATTCTGGCCGTCTGTCTGATCGAGCAAAGCGAAAGGAATCCATGGCACTACCTATCTTTAATCTCTACCTATATCAGTTTTTTGTAGTGGTGACTCGAAGATCCAACGTTGCAAGACGACAGCCCCGCTGTTTTCTCCCAACAGTTTTGCGTTGGTTTGTTGTTCTTTAGGTTTTGGTTTGGTCTGTACCTGGTACCCCCCCCCCCCTCGCTAGATCAGCACGGGGCACTCGTCCCGCCCGTGCCCCAGACTAGCGCAGTGCGTACAAATCTCGATCCCGGTGGTGTTGCCGCCCGGGCCGATCTTTGGCCTGACCATGCCCTTGTCGTACGCATCAAGCAGGCGCTGCTCGAAACAGGTCCCGCTGAGGGGGCCGTACTTCCGGTCGTTCTCGAACCCGGGCGGGATCCCGCAGTGCTCCTCGACCAGTGCGAAGGCGGCCTCCACCGAGGGGTCCAGAACGGCATCCCCGCGGCGCTTGTACCCGAGGTTCTTGTGGATGTACCTCGGGACATGTGCGTCATCTTCGGTTTCGCCGTCGAGGGAATCTTTCTCGGGGGTCACCACCGCCGTGGTCGTCGCGGGGGGAGGCGAGGAAAAGTAACCGGCGATGCCACTGTCGGTTCGCCGTTTTTTCTTTTGGGGGGTCCCTGCAACCAAGTTTGTCTGCACGGACGATTCCAATGACGTCGATCCCACCGGTTGCACCGAATGGACTCTCTGGGTGTCCTTCTCGTCGTCGCCAAAGTCCAGGCGGCGTTTGGCCGAGGGAGCTGAGCTCACCGCTCGTTGACCGGGCATCGTTGCGGGGTTCTAGTTTGTTTCGCTTCGCTTCAAGTTGCTCTCCTTGTCAATGCCGTAGCGCTACCGTACTGTGTGATGCTCGGATTCTCGATGCGGGTAGGATCAATCGGTGTGTTGCGGTAAGGCAATCAAACCCAAACGAAAGGATCGTGTTGTCGGGAGGTTGTTTCTGTTTTGTGTCGTCAGGGAACAAAAACCCGCCTCAGAAAGGCCGTTAAAAATCCAACCATTTCTGCTCATCGCTAACGGGAACGATAAAGGGGTGAAATAGACATTCGGGGGTCACGATTAAAGCACTTCACAAGCTGGACAGCACAGCTGGAAGGCAAACAAGTTACAGGGCCCTCCGGTACCCACGCGCACATCCCCCTTTTCGAATTCCTCCCCTAGAAAAACGTGGGTTATTTTTTGGGAAAAAATACCCACGTTTTAGAAACGTGGGTTATTGTTTGGGAAAAATAACCCACGTTTCTAAAATGTGGGTATTTTAATTTGAAAAATAACCCACGAAAGAACCCAGGAACCCACAAATAACCCACGAAAGAACCCACGAATAACCCACGAATTTACAGTCATCTGGGTTGATGGAGAACCAAGGGTGTTAAGTATTTTAGTCATTAACGTTATTTAATCACTTTTTTTAATATTTGGAGAAAGGCCCAGCAGGTTTGTGGGTTTTTCGTGGGTTATTTCGTGGGTTATTCGTGGGTTATTTGTGGGTTAACCCAACCCACGTTTTAAAACATGGGTTATTTTTTGGGAATAAATACCCACGTTTTAGAAACGTGGGTTATTGTTTGGGAAAAAAAACCCACGTTTTAGAAACGTGGGTTATTGTTTGGGAAAAAAACCCCACGAAATCATACCCCCGATATTTGATTTCAAAGGGGGGACGCGCGCGCGTTGGTTCCGGAGGGCCCAGTACCGTACGGTAGGGGAGATATTCTACAACGCACCGTAAGGTATGGTACGTTATGTATCGTACGGTAATCTTTCCCAACAGACGCGGTAGGACCAGAATGTGAAAGTCAACGCACGTGTTGACAATCGTAAAGTATCTCAAAACAGAGGAAATGCAGGTTTTTTGCTGTATGGTACGTACTGTGCTTTACGCAATTTTGCGTTGATTTTGCGTTGATCACCACCCTGCCCTGGAACTGTAGTTTTCTTTTGCTACGGTAGGAAATATGATATTTTTTACTACCCTCGAATAACGGTTGAATAACCCTCATCTTATCGCTGAATGATATTTTAGATCACATTCTGTGCCTCGGAGAGAAAAGATGTCAACCATCAATACATCGGCTTCCACCACAAAGAAACGGGATGTGTAGAATCAGCGACTGAATGATGCTGCCCCGTTTAGACGAAACATCTAGTAGGATTTGCTTAGACAAAACAAAGTCATCATGAAGGACCACGCCGTAGTCGTCACCCCAAATAGAGAGACTCTACGGCACCAAGTAAACGTTGCCGCGTTTGCCGCCTCTCAGGCATCGAAAACACCTCTGTCCAGTCGCCCTTTGACTCCGGGTAGATCGAGGCGAGGGGGAGGAGGTGTCTTTCGGTCGAAGAGCCCCGGCAAGAGGCATGCAGCAGGCTACCGTGATCTCGCGCAAGAAGTCTATGATCGAATGGGAGTCAACTACGTTCGAGGTCAAAATTCCATCGATTTGTATGACAGTACATCTTCCATCTCGATCTCCTCGACGAAAAGGCACTTCCAATCGCCCGATCGAGGAAGCCCTGTTTCGTCTATCACATCGAGGACCTCGGGCCTATCTGGTGTGTCCAGGGCTTCGGTGACAAGTGAACATCCCAAAGAGCGTGCAATCGGGGGACCGGGCGTCGCATCGCAGCGCAATGCTTACTCGTCTGTCAGAAACCGCTATTCCCCTTCTGCTGATACCCGTTCCGATCAGGATGAGAGGAATTGGAACAGGAATCCAGGGAGCGAGGATGAAGAACGGGAATCTTTTCGTAGTGCAAGATCTGTCAAATCGATGGTGAGTGTTTTTAGTGGGGGCAAGAGTACGGGGAGTTATGGTAGAAGTGTGGCGAGCAATAAGAGTAGCTACTCCGCTTTTAAAGCACCACCAAATTTTGTCAATGCTGCTTTTAACCAAGGACAGAAACGAATCTCAGATAATGATAACGACGTTAACACCAGTCTTTCGTTCGGATCTCTGGACGAAGGTCGGTGGGTCAACAAGCAGCAAAATCAATACCCCCAAGAACAACCGCAACGGCAGGTATACCGGAGTCGGTCGTTCTCTTCCAGTCGGAGATCGTCCTTCCAAAATTCAAAAGCTTTTTCCTCGTCGAGTATGAGCTCGAGCCATCCCAATAACACGTCGTGCGACAAAATGATTGAGAAACTTGTCAAAGAAAAGGTCGAGGAAAAGCTTACCGAATTGGATGCAAGCTTCGAGGACAGGCTTCGTCGAATCGATACAGATATCAATTCACGGCTGAACGACATCGAAACAAAATTGAACATGATCTTGAAGGTAGAATCATCACCGGCGCTAAGAAAATGGGAAAAGTCTTCCAACAGGACCCCGAAAAACAAGCGCAGTTTCTCTTACGAAAGGTTGCGTCTGTAATCGTTTTGCGTTGGGAGCCAGACAATTTTTGTGTGATTGGCAATGGCGGGATAGTGTTGGTTTCACAGCCGTGCGTGAAAAACTTTTGAACCTCACACACCAACGTGAGTGATTCTATAATTCATATAGAGGAGAAGAGAGAGTGAGAGAGAGCCTCGGTCCGACTTGCTCGACGGGAAGTCCACTAAAGAGTTGAACCGAAAAAAATTGTTGGATATGCTTCTTGCAAGTTTAGAGAAATTGTGAGTTATGCCCAGAAAAAACATCGGGAAATGGATCGAAAATCAGAGGGGACAAAGCACCAGCAAAGGGATACAACGATTATCGTCATCATTGGACTTTCCATTATCTTGTATGGAAAGCTGCCAAATGCATACTGTTCACAACGTAAGCAGCACTAGGAATTGTAATAACTAAAATTGAACTTTCTAACAACTGTACTATTTTTCAATACACGCACAAGTAAAATAAATAATTGCGGTTGGCATGCGAAGTATTTATTTCGTTTTCCTCTCGATGTGAACGCACCCACCCAGCCGCTGCTACGACTTGCGCGGCCTCTTGGCGGCACTTCCACTGCCACCGGCGGCCGCCCCTTCGGAAGCCGGTGGTGCTTTGGTCGTGGCGGTCGTCTTGGGCAGGACCACCGGCGTGGTCCCCGCCACCGCTTCGGCCGCCGCGGCCGCAATGGCGGCCGCCATGGTAGCCTGGTCGGGGGCCGGGACCGGGGGCCTCGCCGGCGCAGGTGCCGCGGGCTTCGCGGCCGGAGTCGCCCTCGCCTTCGTTGCCGTCCTTGCGGGGGCCGGCCCGGGGACCTGCCGGGGGGTGGATCCCTTAGTACTACCCGACGATTCGCCGCTCTTGCGCTTGCGCTTGACCGTCTTTTTCTTCGTGGCCGGCGTGGAACCGGTGGCGGCACCGGCCGATGCGGACTTGCTGCCGGAATCCGTGCCGGCCCCTTTCTTGCCTGCGGCCTTGGCTTTTCCCGATCCCGCGCTGGGCTTTCTCTTGACCGCCTTGGCCTTGGCAGCGGAGCCCGGGGTCCCGTTGCCAGAACCCGCTGGCTTGGAAGGGGGCGCAATTCCGAACAGGCCTTCCTCGTCGAGGACCTTGTCCTCGGGGGCTACCGATGCCCCGCCCATCCGGGAAAGCCGTAGGCGCTTGGACTGGAGCTGGCCCTCCCTCTGTAGGAGCATTTTCTGGAGGGTGATCAGGGAAAGGACGTCCTTTCTCACGGAATCGTAAAGGTCGCAGACCCGCTTCGTGGGGAGCGGCCGCTCGGGTATGTTCAGCTCGCGCAGGACCTTGTCCATCTTGGACAAGAGGGACTTGTTGATCCCCGACGGCCCGCCCGCGGAAGGTGGAGCGAGGCGGCCCGACTGCAGGTAGGGGTGCCCCTGCATCGGCACCGGCGCCGTCGAGAAAAAGCAGCTGTCCAGGGATTCCAAGAGATCGCTGCCCTCTGGCTGGATGGCGCTGGCAGCGGCGAGCTCCACGGCAACTGCACCGGTAGCACCGGTGGACCTCGGCACCGGCGTCGCGGACCGCGAGGGCCCGCGGGAAGACGAAACGGCGGCTCCCACCTGGGCCGTTCCCGTCCGTCCCGCACCCGTGGAAGACGAGGCCACCTGCTGGCGCTTGTCCCCCCGCGCCCCGGTCGCTTTTGCCGCCAGGACGTGCCCCCCGTGCTTCTTGAGCTTGCGGAGCTGCGCGTCGATGGCCCTGAGCTCCTTCCGAAGGAGGGTTTCTTCCTCCTCGTCCTCCTTGCTACGCCTCCACAGCCGGTCGAGGTGCCTGCGGCGTTGCCTCTCCCTCGCGTAGTCAAAGACCTTGTTGGTCGTTCCTGTTCCAACGTGCGCGATCAGCGGCTGGTGGTGGCCGGCCGAGGTCGCTAGGGCCCTTGCGGCTGCCGATTCTAGGAGCAGGCGGTTCGTGGTTTCCTGCGGGTGGGCGGCGGGCCTAACCGCCGCGTTGGAGGGAGTCCCTCCGGCCGCTGCGGGGTTCGAGGCCGGGGCCGGCGGAGCGGCCGGTCCGCCAGCCACCGTTCCGGCTTTTGTGGGAGCGGACGCGGCCGCCGACTTGGTGGCCTCCGCGGAGAGGTTCATCGCTTCGATGGCCGCCTGCTTCGCGATCCGGACCTGCGATAAGACTGCCGCGACACCGTAGTACCGGTGCTGGAGGTCCTCGATGGTTCTCCCGTTCGCAGGGTTGTTGTTGTTGTTGTTAGTAGTAGTAGTGCTAATGCTGTATTCCGCCCCGAACCGATCCAGGATGACCGGCCACCGGCACTCAAAGGTCCGGACCAGCTCCATGAGCCGATCGGTCTCGCTCCGGGTCCATGTCTCGCTCTCGAGGTGGGAAGAATACTCCTCGGGGGTATACGCGACCGGGTCCATGTGAACGTCGAACTTTGCGTAGGGATAGTCAGTGTACTCGACGTTCTTGCGGACCCAGTGGTGGAAGACCGCCCCGTCGGTCCGGCTGGAGGAGGCAAAGGGCGCCCAGGTCCAGGGCCGGGCCCGTTTGGACGCCGATATCCACTTGCTCCCCACCTTGACCCTTGTTTCGCTTTTGCTTTCGCTTTCGCTTCCACCGCTTGGAGCGCCTGGTTTGGGTACCCTCGCATCGGCGCCCGCGCTCGGGACCAGGGTCGGGACGATGGGGGGGAGGCCCGCCGATGAGGGGTCCTGGTGCTTCCCCTTGAGCAGGTCCATGACCTCCCTGGACATTCCGGCGATTTCGACCGCGGAAGCCCCGGGCTTGGCGCCACCGATCGGGGGACCTGGGGCCGGTGTCGCTGGTGCCAGTATCTGCGCAACGTCTCCCATTCTAGAGTGTCGTTTGTTTGTGCAATTGAGCGTTTCTTTCGCCGGTTCGTTCTCTTTGGTCCAGTTCCTGTGACAAGCGGTTTGTGTTTGCTTTCCGATTTGTAGCGCCGCCTTTCGCTGGTACGACCTGATCTGCTCTATTTTGTCTTGTTCGTTCCGGTTCCTCTCCCTAGAAGTTTCCGTTCCAATTTGTAGCACCGCCCTTTGGTAGATCGTAGCCTCTTGCCGAACGCTCGATTGATTTATTTATCGCCTGGGCCCGAGGGGGGTCCGTCTCGCTTTGTTTCGCCGCTCTCGGACGGGATTCCTTGTGGTTTCTTTGAAGTTGGGTGTAAGGAATGCGGCAGATATCTGGCCGAGCAACGATCTCGTCTCCTCCGTTGCGTGTGGAGGTGCACTTTCCCCCTTCGCTTTATGGCTGTAGCTGTAGCTGTGGCTGTAGCTGTAGCTGTGGCTGTGGCTGTTGCTGTATCAATCCCTATCGATTGTTGCAGATCTTGATCACAAGCTCTCTCTCTCTCTCTCTCAATCCGAGGTTCCCCCAAAACGACGAGGTGCCACATCGACTCAATAGACCCCTGAGACGTTTCGTTCGACAATAATTCGATTTTTTTTCACTCTCTCCATTTCCCCTCTCCCCCCCTCTTTCTATTACTAGTAGTAGTGGTCCTTCTTACTACTGGAGAGGTAAATTCATTGCTTACTTGACCTCTATATGTGCTTACCAGCAGGGATTTTATAGTATTGAGCACTTCAAATGGCTGGGTACAGGGGTTCTGTTGGTGCTGCTTCCCTCTTTGTACCTCTCTAGTACTAGTCGTACTAGTACTACTAGTAATAATAGTGATCGTGTGAGTCATATATGTATGGTGTGTATGAATTGTAGATACGTTTCATATGTATGTGTCGTATATATGAGTCATACCCACGGTCAGATATCCTACAGACAGCAGGATGACCACTAATAGAAATATTTTGGGACCAGCAATAAATTAAATAATTTGAAACAGTTTTTTGAACTGAAAAATGACCAAAACAATTTGTGTGCAGACCATCAAAAACCAGCCAGAATTTTGCTCTCCAGTAGAAAAATTGTTGGTGGAAACTACTCCGGGCGTGCAGGGTCTGTCAAGTTGCTCTGGATGAATCCCGACTTGCTCACGATTGGTACAGAACATGGACTAAATGGGAAATTCCCCTTAATAGAATTGCTACTTTCACGGACTGGAAGATTTGTATTGCTTGATTTCTTATGTTGGTCAATTGTATTCAGAAGAGGTGCTCGGTACCATTGTCAACATCATTTTGTTTCCTCATTTAAATCCATTGTACTGATTCTGCATGTTGCACAAAAATAAGGGGACTTACTGAAATGGACAGCAAAATTGGAGACAAACACTCACAACATTGTTAGGGTCATTTTTATAGTCAAAGAAAATTCATTCAAATGTTGGTCTCTAAATATTCCTGTTAATGGTCCTTACTACTTGAGAATTTCCATCAGAGCTTACTACTGGTGTCACATAATAAGTATATGTGACCTATTGAAAATGTGTGTTGGGACCCTTGTTTCATCCTTTTTTGTTCAGAGGAGCAAGTGTTTTGCAGTGATCTTGCAATCTGCAACCCTAAGATTTACCTTTTTTGAAAGCTACTGAATTCCAAAATTGTTTCTGACCAAAAAATTATTTTATTCCCCCTTTCCTTATTTTTGAATCATGCCAACTCATGTTGAACTTCTGTCCCAACCAGAGTGTACTACCCTGTGTACTTGACACTCATCAAATAGTTTCATTTAACCTCCAGTAAAATATGACTGTGTACAACACATAGAATCAGTACTAGAGACTAGAAATGAGCATGCATGTGAACAAAAATTATTTTTGCTTTTTGATGGCAAACATCTTTGATCATACCCAATCTTTGGTACTAGCTGCTCTCTTCAAGACCCCTGTGATCTTGTTGCCAACAGTAGTGCAGGCTTATTTATTACCACTGTCTCTGGCTGATTTTACCCCCTTGATCTTCTTTGTTATTAGTTCTACCTTAACATCATTGCTTCATATCTTTATTGAAGCTGGACACATCGCTTCAATCAGTAATGTGCACAAAAACTCTAATGTATTCTGGGGCAATAGAGTCATGATTGCCAAAGTCAGCATCCACAAATGTCTTGAGTAGGTAGTATCATATCTATAGTCTGCTATCTTGTCCCTTGTCAGCTTGTTTCCATACATGTGTCAATGCCATCTGCTACACCTAATTGCTGTGCTGCAAACTACAAAAGCTTTGGCATTTTTGACACCCAAGAAGGCTGAATACAAAAACTTGACAGAGGCTTCTTCCTTATCTTCCATAAGGTTTCTGACTTGTTGCTGCTCCAGGGCTGCTAGGTGTATCTTCTGTTGAATACCTAGCGCTTCTTCTTGTGAAACTAACAAGCTTCTTCTGAGGTCGCTATGGGGGAAGGGGTATGTCTGAATGCTGAGAGTGTCCTTGGTGGGAAACAGGGTTTGCTTGCTTTGGAGTAAGCTGCACTAAATTCCGCTTCCAGAGTTTCAAGCTTATCCATTGATTCATGCATACTTCTTACCAACTTTTGCTGGGACTTTGGATTAGTTTTCTTCTACTGAAAACAGTTCTTTTTGTGCTTAACAGATCTATTATAAATGTATTCAGTTATGAAGTTTGCATTAGGTGAAAGTGTCTGACATGCTTGTGACAGCTACTTAAAGAGGGCCTTTTTTGGCATATTTATGTGATTTTACTGTCAGTTGGGCTAGTATTGGTCATTCTTTAAGCATGCAAGTTGCAGCTATAGAAAGCTAAGACTAAGAGCTTTATCGTGATATTCTTGTTATGCTTATAGTAGGGAATGTTTCTTCATTGGTCATCCTTGTTCAAAAGAGGTGCACCATACCATTGTCAATATTTTAATTGATGTGTAATTTCATGCTCATTTCTAGGCTCATTTCTAGTCTCTAGTACTGACTCTACACATTCCACAGAGTCATTCCTTCAATTCAACTGTTGAAACCATGAAGTAAATAAGGGACACTCTGTGTATTGACAGCCAAAACAGTTGTAGGGTACATCTGCTATTTCTAAATACTGAATGAGGAGTACTAGGAACCAGTAGTATCATGTAGTATAGGGACAATATGGTGTAGCACTTATTGCAAAGGACAGGGGAAGATAGTGCAAGATACTGCTTCTTACTATAGTGCTTATTATTCTAATTTTGCAATCAAAATGCAACTAATAGTGCTAAGAACATGCTCCAGTTCAATCCTGCTGTTCACCGTGGGGTTCTTGCTTGTCCCCATAGCACTGTCTTTTGTTGCCGCTGCTTGTAGTATGCTTCGTTTTAGTTTTAGTAGCAGGCATAGTACTACTAGTCATTGTCATTCCAAGAGCCTGCTTCTTCATCAGATTAGTCTCTCTTGCAATCTGATTACTTGTCTCTTTTGTCTCTTTGTTCTTCTTGCTGACTCGCTCATCACCAGATACTCATTAATACTCCCTCTAGCACCAGCACCACCATCAGGAGGAAGAGTTCTTTACACCAGCGTAATGTGATCTCTTCATAGGAGTGGATTCAACAACATGCTGCATGGATGGTGCCATCAGCAATGCTGGCACTGTTGCTGCCCTCACCAACCTCCTCCTCCTCCTGTTGTTGCTGCTGCTCTCTTTGTTGCAACAAGAAAGCAACAAGGAGAGAAGAGGAAATAGAATGTACTGACAAAGAAGAACACTATTCCTATGGGCATTCTTTGTTTTATGTGGCACCATTGTTGTTACTAATAGAGGTACCAATGTTAAAAGAGGCCATTGATACTAGTAGAGGCACCACTGATTAGCAGTACTAGTAGTACTACTAGTACTACTGCTACTATCTTCTTCTTGTTCTTCTTGTTGTTGTTGTTTAGTAGTACTAGCCTGCCGAGGAGTCTTAAATCTTGTTGTTGAGTTCCGTCTTAGATTCTGGCGGGCTTTCTGTTGAATCTTCCAACAGACTCAAAACTTGTTGTGTTTGCAGGGTTCCACTCTAGATGCAGAGTATTTTMTTGAACCGTGTGCTTGGACCGGTTCTAAACGTGCTAAATCCACTACTAGCTAGAGCTTCATGCAAGGCATTTTTTGTCTGTCGGTCCATCAAATCTAGAGTTTTCATCATAATGGGAATCACCCAATGAGTCGTGTGATCGAACACTCCGGAGGAGGTGGCCTCTGCAAACGGAAAGCAAGAGTGTGATTGGTCAAAAGACGTTCGGGCGAAAGGGACGATGCACTTGCTTGAAAATAGTTCTTGTTTAAGCTTTACTGCCATATCAGCGTCGATTGGATGCTTTTGTGGTCGCGTTCCTCACCGAATCGATATGAATGATATTTGTAAATGAAGAAAGTGAAACACAGGATTATAGCACGGATAAAAACCCAACGGATAGATGAAGAGTTGAGTTGAATCGCCTCGTTGGAAACTCCGTTGGAAGTCATTGCACCGTCTCACGGTAACCCTGCAAACCCATCCAACGCAACGACTACTGTACTGTAACTCGTGCTCGTGCTCGTACCGTACGGTACGGTACAGTAGGATAGGAGTACAGTGCCACACTCGTTCGCTACGACGACCGCACTCGTACTCGAACCTTGTATCGTAGATTACGGTTAACCGCACTCGTACTGGTATCGTACCGAACGGCAAAAGCGAAGCGGCGCAAGGCCCTTTCTTCCTTCCTTTCTTGCTTCTCTGTGCCGAGCACTACTCCGCCCAGTTGAACACTCTTGGTGCTACCGCTGGTGCTGCTACAAGCACTTCGATTGTTACAGTAGACCAAGGCGAGCAACGCCGGAAGACGCGAAAGAGCCTGCGTTACAACAGCAACAACCGCAGATAGGAAACGTCCATACAGTACTAGAAGGAGCCAGATTCGGTTTCGCAGTACCGTACGTACTCGCTAGAATTGCTCTGTGGATCGAGACGCACTCTTGTCGGGAATCCAAGCAAGGTCCAAGCAAGATCCAAGCAACGCGAACGCCTCCAACACGAACGCCTCCAACGCGAACTCCAACGCAAACGCCTCCAACGCCAACACCCGACACCCAACGAAACAGACCATGTCCGTCGCACCGGACCGAGGGAACAAGCGCATGAAGTCGGACGGCGGTCCCATGGGGTCCGGCCCTCCCGACGGGTACTACGGACAGCACCCGCCCGGACGCTACCCGCCCTACGGCGGTCCCGGGGGGCCGCCCCCTCCCATGGGCTCGGGCTACCCCCCGGTGTGGCAGCAGGGGCACCCTCCCCCGCACTCGTGGGGGTCCTCCGGGCCGCCCCCGCCGGGCCCGGTCTACCACGGGGGAGCGCCCTCGATGGGCCCCGACCGGGGGACCTACGGGGGTGCCTATCCGCCCCGGGGGCCCCCGGGGATGCAGGGGCTTCCGCCGCAGCAGCAGCCGACGCAGCGCCGGGGGGGAGCCCAAGGAGGGCCCCCTCCGCAATCGCGGCAGGCAAAGGACGGAAGCGGGCCACCGCAAGACGGGAGCCGCCCGCCGCAGGGCTACCAGGGGGGCTACTACCCGCCCCCCCAGGGACCCCATCCGGGACCCCACCAGGGACCCCCGAGGTCCTACGGGAACACCCCGTATCCCCCGGGAGGGCCCCCGCAGATGCACCACGGGCCGCCGCCCCAGTCCTACGGGGGAGCGCCGCCGCCGTCGTCCCGGTCCGGCCCTTCCTACGGGGGCGCCGCGTCCCGGGCTCCTCCGGCCCAGCCGCGCCAGAGGCCGGCGCAGGAGGTCCTGGGGGGCGGTCCGGGGGGTGGCCCGGGCGGCTACGGCCTCCAGGCGTCTTCCGCCACCGCCGCCACCACCGGAACGGACGCCCCAGACTTTGACAACCTCTTTTCGCCGCGGCAGGGGGGAGTGGGGACGCAAGCGGGAACCACCCCGGACGACGACGGGAACTGCTCCGTCGCCACCGAAGGGAACAACTCCAAGGACAAGGGCCGCGGGAGCTACAAGTGCGGAAGGGTGCGTTTCTGTCTTGCCTTTTTGTCTTGCCTTTTTGTTGCATTCTCTTTTCCATGTCCATGCCAATGTCCATGTCCAAGTTGCATGCATGTTTTGGTTTGTGGTGCTCGGCGATGGCACAGGCCGTTTCTCGCACCGTTGCGGTCGTTCTGCCATTTTTCCTCCACGCACTCACGCCTTTTTCGTTCCTGTTTTTCACCCGTACAGTGCGGAGCACCGAAAAAAGGCCACGTTTGTCCTTATCAACCGAAACTTACTCGCAAGGTTGGGGAACCTCTGCCGGAGATGCGCTCGGCGGCAATACAGGTAGAAATGGACGAAGTAAGTAACGCAACGCAACGCAACATAACGTAGTCCCCGCCCTATGTCGTCCCTATGTCGTCGAGACCACCGGTGCCAAGCACGATTTCTTTCGCATGCAACCTAATCGCTTGTCCAATGTTTTTTTCCTCTTCTGGGCGAATGCTTGCGAACCAAGTTTATGACTCTGCGACGGCTGAACCTGAGAATCCAGGGGTTTCCAGAATCCTATGCCAGCGAACCCTTTGGAGAAGACATGGTGGTGGGCGAGCCACACCAACCGCAGTCGGCCATGAATGCGATTTCGCCGCTGCCTCAACACATGTCATCGCAGCCGCAGCAACACGGGGGCGTCGGTCTGAACGTTGTCGACAGAAACGGAATCTCGCAACCGCTTCCGCCATCGTCTGGCATCGATCCGGTGACCGGTGCCAGAGCCGAAGATCCAATAGTTGGAACTGTGTGAGAATTTCTTCACTTTCGGAGAACGGACCAGGACAACACTCCAAAGGGTTCGGAAACCACCAACAGCTCTGTCGAGTGGTTGGCACGGGGAAGCCTTCTGCTCTATTGGTGCTTCGGGTCCACAGCTGGTACTGGACCGTCAGGCGGTATGTGCCATTGTAGCGTCGGGTGTGCGAAAGCTTGTGCTCCCGCTGCTACTGGCTCGAGCAGGCAGCGGACGGAGAGGAGCGGTTCGTTGTGGCTACGATTGCTCTGGCACCGCACACGAGAAACTCGAACAAATCCGAAACGAGGGCCGTGCGAATTGTGCAATAATACTGTATTACGGGTTTGTAGCAGGAGGAAGGCGCTCGTCGGCGAATGCCTGCCTGCCTGCCTGCCGCTGTGGTCCCACGGCTCTCGTTCGCGAAACAAGGCTGTGTCGGTGGGGTACGTTCTCTCGAGTGGATGCGGTGTGAACTGGCATTCCTGGCACGGCCAAGGATAATAGAACTACATGTTCCTGCACTATTTCATATTAGGCTACAACGATTTTCATTTCACGAGGATAACTCTTTCTAACAGTACTACTAGTAGTGATAGCAACACTCCCAATAGCATACTGTATGCACACAAACAGGCAGTTGCCAACACGGATGGAAACGCGTTGCCACCGCAAGCAGTGACAATACGAGTTTCGGTACTGCAAACTACCGTAGCCTTTCGACCTCTCGATCGGCTCCGTCCCGGTTCTTGTAGTATGCGATGGAGGATGTCCTGCGCGTTCTCCTCTTCTCCCATTCCCACCACCAACAACACAGAGCAGGGGCAACGCCGGCAAGTGCGTCCACGGCGTTCGATGGCAAAGAACTCGGCTCGGCTCGGCTCTCGAGATCGTCCCCTTGTGCGTTACCGGATCCCCCCGCCGCAACGAGAGTACCGAGATATCCCAAAGGATCTGGACACAGCCTTCCACGGGTCAACCCCTCCCCTATCTGTCGGCGGCCGCAACCGGTTGGTTCTCCTTCCTGTTCTTTGCAGAGGAATAAGCCAGCTGGTTCGAAACTCTCCCTCCCTCTCTCTCTCTCTCTCTCTCTCTCTCTCTCCCTCTCTCTCTCTCTCTCTCTCTCTCTCTGTATTGCTCACCCCCTCCCCTTGTCGGATGCAACAGGTTGTGTCCCATTCTTTTTTGCATCATTAGCAAGCTGGTTTGCAAGTCTCTCTGTATTTGAAAGGGTTTTTACGGTCACCAATCCCTTCCCATGCCAGCGGTCCAAGGAGGACAAGCTTCCAGGCAAGGCAGGTCCGCCACGGACACACACGCCTCCATGCCACCAAGGACAAATTACTAAAACTTATAGATCGTGTTCCTTGGTGCTGGTCTGCTGTTTGTTGCTCCTTCCGCTTTTTCTTCGGGTGGATTGCAAACGAGTACCACCAAATACTACTACTACTAATAAGGACTTTGGTAGTGGGAGCATGATTCAATAGTCTCTCTGTACTAGATTTCTGCGCTCCTTGGCCTCATCAGCCTCTCCTGGTGTGTCCTTCTTCTCCTTCTTCTTCTTGCATCCTCTGCCCACCAGCAGTCCTCCTCCTCCTTGCTTCTCTGGATTTGGTCTGTTGTTGTGCTGTCTGCTACTACTAGTAGTACTACTACTAGTTTTACTTTGTGTTACAGCAGTATCCACCACCCTGCTCACTCCAAGGATAACTTGGTGGCATTGTTACTATGCATCATAATCGCCAGGAATATCATGCAGGTGGTTTTCTTGTTCTTGATGTTTGTCGTCTTCTTCATGATGATGATCCTCTACGACTAGTAGCACTACTAGCAGTAGTAGTAGTAGTAGTAGTAATACCAGCACCAGTACGATCACCAAGAAACTCCTCGGTACTACTAGTAGTTTTGTTGGCAATCCCTCCTCTTGTTCCTCTTCTTGATTGCTGCTCTTGCTGCTGGTGTCACTGTTGCAACTGTAGCATTGCTGTCTTGGTGTACTGCTGCTGCATAATGAATTGTGCAATTGTTTTTTAGCTACTGTACTGGTTCAATTGTTTTTTTCAACCAAGAATCAAGTTTTGCTCTGTTTAGTCGTGCGATACTTTGAAGAAAACACGAGTCATTTCAGTCTCAAGATTAGAATTAAAACTACGATACTCGTACCTTTGCATACTCGTACTAGTAGTACTAATACTAACTTCCTGATACTTCTTGTACCGTACCGTACAGTACTGCAAAATTGTTCTAAAGTAACCGTGATATTCATAGAACTCGTATGGCAACCTACAGCATGCGTTTTGTATGTGTCGTCGACTCGCAAATAATGAGTTTCTGTTAAGTAGCAGAGTGAGCGACGATCAGGGCGCGCGTTGAACGATCGTTTGGACGCGCGGGTTGTGGCGAATCAAAGTACTAGAACCGCAAATTGGCATCCTGCCAAAAATTTGCGCGCTGGACCAGAAGTGATAGGATGATTCTCTGAAAACCAGAGAAGGGTTCAGTACTTAACATGCGTATTCTATCGCATCGTAGTGTCAAATTGTCTTTTTACTGTACGTATTGCATCGCATCGCATCGTATCGTATCCCGAGTAGCGGAGTAGCGTCCACTTCGTTTGGCTCTGCGTCGTGGGAACATCTTGCGGCGCAAACTAATTATTGATTTTTTATTATTAGTTGGTCTTACAAGTCCCACAAAACGCCAACTCCCTTCCGTAGGAACCAGGCATCAATCGGGAGAGCAACGCAAACGAACTAAACAAACGAGTCGCGTGGTTTCAAATTCAACCAAAAAGGGAAGGACAACAATAACACCATTTCTGCGACACACCTTCTCCGAAGCAGAGAGAGCAGTCGAAACGAAAGCTGCTGCCGGACACAATCGACGCAATCGAGGGAGAGCTAGTCCATTCGTAGTCATAGTGTATCAGCATCCGTGCTTTGTTTTAAAACTGGTTTCAAACGAAATCGTCGCTGCTAATAACCAGTGCTGATTTGCAACCCGCTGAGTGGAATCCAAGCAATAAAGTTGCATACACGCAGAAGACAGTTCGGTATCCAGAGCATCACATCGCATCAAACACACGCTAACAAAGCACAAAAGAGCGTATCACAGTGTAGCCGATTCGTACAAAACGACATCGCAAACACACCTACATATAGTTCATACATCAAACATACCGCATTCGCCATGACCAGCGCGGAAACTTCTACGGCCATGTCGGTCACGGAAGACGATGGCTACGGCAACAGCAGCAGCAACTGCAACTGCACCAGCAGCGGTTCGAAACGGCTGGCAACAGAGGAGGCCACCCCCATTGCCAAGACACCCCCGGGTAGGATCGATGTTTCGGTTCTGGACCATGCCGTCCACTCCTCCCCACCCCCCTCCAGGCACAATCTCGAAAAGACGAACCATTTTGGTGTCACGGGCACCCCTATGTCGACCTGTTCTACCGCAACCAATACGACGGCTACCACCCTCACGAGCAGCACCTTCGCGACGGAACGCGCCGAATCGAAGGCCCCCTACCCGAATTTTGCGAGGCGATCGTCCTCGCTGGCGTCCTCCTCCTCCTCGTGCTCGCGGCAATCGTCTTCGATCCACGGGATTCCCCTTCCGTCGCCATCTCGGTCGCGGTTGGATCGGCAATACGCCAAGCGACTGGCGGCCTCGTCCGTGGTGTTTCGGCACGGCTCCACGGCCAGGTCACCGGTCTCGGTATCCCAGGATGGTAGCGGTATAACGCGAAGCCTAGACTGCGATTCGAGCATGATATTCCGCCCGAAGTCGATCCTTTCCAAGATCGATGCCGGCAGCAACAGCAGCACTGGACGATCACCTAGGCGATTCTTGTTTCCTCCGTCTCCGACAAAAGAAAGTCCATCCAGCAATATCGGAAAAAGTCACAGCAACACGACCTTTTTGAGGAGTAGCAACAGCAATGCAAGCGTCTCCCAATACAGTACCACGAGCAGCACGGGCACCAGCCATAGCAACAGCAGCAGTACCTCCCTTTCCTCGTCGAGGCGGCGGAGAAATTCAAACCTTTCTGCGTCGATGGACTTAGGGATATCCGATCGGTTCGTTCCCTCCCGGGCAACCTCCAATCTGCAAAACGTCAACTTGTGGGGTTCCATGAACTCGAGTGCTTCGCAGACCGGTGCCTCCTCCTCCCCGTCCTCACCGTCGAGGAGGTCCCAAGCCGATGCCGATACCCGCGGCGACGGCGGGTCGAACACAATCAACACGGGAACCGACGAAACAAGCAACACGGCCGGAAGCGTCAACCCGGCCACGGGAAGGGTCAACGAGACGTCCTCCATTACCACCCAGCAAAACCTCCACAATGTGCTGCTGCGGTCCGAGCTTCTAGGAGAAAATATCAGTCCGTACTCGTACGCTGCCGCCGCTGCCGGGTCTTCCTACGGTTCGCGACCCAGCGGCAGCAGTGTTCCCCTCCGCGACGGAATGAACCGGCTCCGCTTCCATAGTCCCCGCCAGGCCTACCGCGATACGATTTACGATGGCACCATGGGACCGACCTCCGTTGTCAACTCGTTCAGCTTGACTCCTTTTGGGAATTCATCGAGCCAGCAGCTCATGGCGGCACCGCAGAAGCACCGAAGGAAAATCGCAAAGGTCCCCTTCAAGGTCCTCGACGCACCGGCCCTCCAGGACGACTTCTACCTCAACCTCGTCGACTGGTCTTCCCAGAACGTCCTGGCCGTCGGTCTGGGCCATTGCGTCTACCTCTGGAGTGCCTGTACCTCGAAGGTCACAAAGCTCTGCGACCTAACGTTCGCCGAGGACGTGGTGACCTCCGTCTCTTGGGCGCAGCGGGGGACCCACCTGGCGGTCGGCACCAATAAGGGGGAGGTCCAGCTGTGGGACACGATTAAGGAGAAGAAGGTCCGGACTATGAAGGGCCACACGGCGCGCGTTGGTACCTTGGCGTGGTCTGGGCCCACCCTCGCCAGCGGAAGCAGGGACCGGCTGATCTTTCTGAGGGACGTGCGCGACAAATCTGACTTTACCCGACGGCTCAACGCTCACCGCCAGGAAGTCTGCGGCCTGAAGTGGTCCTATGACGAGCCGGCCTTTCTGGCGTCCGGGGGCAACGACAATCAGCTGCACGTCGTCGACAGCCGGAATCCCTCCGCACCCGTGCACCGCTTTACGGATCACACGGCCGCGGTCAAGGCCATTGCCTGGTCCCCCCACCAGCACGGGCTCCTGGCAAGCGGGGGTGGAACCGCCGACCGTTGCATCCGGTTCTGGAACACGCTAAGTGGATCGGCACTCAATTGCGTGGACACGGGTAGCCAGGTGTGCAACCTGGCCTGGTCACAGAACTGCAACGAGATTGTCAGCACCCACGGGTATTCCCTGAACCAGATTGTGGTGTGGCGATATCCCAGCCTGAGCAAGGTGGTGACCCTGACCGGGCATACTTACCGGGTCTTGTACCTGGCCATGTCGCCTGACGGATCCACGATTGTTACGGGGGCCGGAGACGAAACCCTCCGGTTCTGGCAGGTCTTTCCAGGGCCGCGCTCGGATGCGAAGAATAATGCGGGCGGGCTCTTGTTTCCGAATACGCTGGGCTCCGTTATTCGATAGCATGGCGGTGCATCGGGAACCAACAACAATCTCGCTCTGTGCTGCAATGCGTTGGAAGTATAGAAGACTTCTCACACTTGCAAACAACGGTAATCGAAAGGACTCCGGATATGCGAACAATATACTTTAAAAATCACGATACCACTAGAGTAGAATTTTTACCTTGCCTATTTTTCGTGCGGACTTGTTATTGCAATGAATGAAGTAGTTGTCGATTATCATTTCTTTATTCTCTACATCTAATTCTCATGAACTGAAGTTGTAATACCACCCATGCAGGTAGGCCCTTTCTGTACGAAGTTGTTGTCGGTCTCAAAAACTTCTTACAGTAGATAAAAATAATCATGTCCTTTCCTACCACAACGTAATCAAGTACGAAGTACAGTAATTGAAATGAGAAGAACAAGAACCGAGCCTAAAAAATACAAAATACAGTTAAGATGATAATGGGTGATTCCCGATATTATAGATGTGCTAAATTGGTAAATTTAGCACTTTTATTACTTATATCATAACGGGAATCAATTTTTCAACAGACAGACAGAGAGGAAGGCCATTTTTCATTTCAGTATTTTTAGGAATTTGGAATCCTAAATATTCCAACGTTAACACTGTTAAGACTCAAAAGGCGCGCAAGTTGGTACAAAGAAAAACATGAAATTTTCAATACTGCTTTAGGTGATAAAAACACACACATTTTCAATGCTTCCAGTCAGTATCAAAAATATGAGTGTTCCTTGCATTAGCTTACAAGCTTACAAACTATTTGTAGACCCACTATTAGACTAGCGTTCCCCTCTGGCAACAAATAGTAGAAGGAACAAGCAAATTTTTGATACTCTCATAGTATCAAAAATTTGTGTCTTCCTTATCCTAGTTAGCCACACTATTAGACCACACTTTCCTCCTAGCAACAAACAATGCCACAATAATGGGAGTCATGGAGATCATCATGATGTACTGGTACATCCAGTTGAATATTGATGAAGACAAGCAAAGGGGAGAGACGCAGGAGGGACAAGAGAACCCCCTTTTGCAATCCAGAGATATGCTGATTCCCCCTTCTCCATCTCTTTCAAGCCTTGATCAAGGGCTATTCAACCATGGTCTTTGCTCAGGGAGTTTGTTGATGTGTTTGCTCCAGTACACAACAACAAGTACACTGTGGATAACAATAACAACATTGTTGAAGTTCCTTGTTATCCCAGTGGGAAGCAAAAGGGGGAGAAGAGGGAGGTTGATGCAGTCTGTGCTATTGGGCTGGTCCTCTATTGGTACAGGACAAGAGGATCGGTTGCAAGAGCAATGACAATGACCTTTGGCTTGACATCCACAGTGATGTACAAGTGGCTCAAGTTTTCAAGAAGAGTGATGCTTGTTGCTCTTCACAAACACCCTGACGCCATGGTCAGTGTTCCAACTGAGCATGAAGTGGATGATTATGTTAAGGCTAGTAGTGGAGACAAGTATCCAAGACTTGGAGAACAACGCCTTTGGGGTGCTGCTGATGGGCTCAAGAGTGTCATCAAACAGTCACAGGACTGGTATAAACAAAGAGCAGTCTACAATGCTTGGAAGGATAACACMTTTGTTAATAGTGTGTTTGCCTTTGCCCCAGATGGTAGAATCAGAATTGCAGTGTACAACTGCCCGGGGGCCTGCTGGCATGATAGTTCCATTGTTGACCACAGGGTCTATCAAAGGATTGAGAAGGTCTACAACACATGCAATGGTGCAAAGGTTGTTGTGGACTCAGCCTTTCCATTGAAGCATTACCAGAATAGCCTACAGAGGGATCCTGGGTGGTGACAGAGACAATTTCCTATTGTTGAACAGGGATGCCACATCCTTAAGACAGATGTCAGAATGGGGGATGAAGATGATTCAGGGACAGTTCCCAAGGATCAAAGAACCAAAGTTCTTGGAAGAGCTTGGAGATAGGAGGAGGATCATGAAACTCCTCATCAACTTGTACAACTATCAGTGCAGCACCATACTAGGACACATCCAAATCCTATCAACCTTCCTGAAGATACCTGCTGCCACTACCAATAAGGTTCCACTGCTGCTAGCTCCTCATTAAATTGGAACTGTACTGCTGTACAGCAGTATTGATTAGTTTAGTTTACTAGTTAAAAATTTAAACATCTTCAGTGTGGTGCAGTTCACCATGGGATTCCCTGTGCATTGGTGTTTAGTTGCTCTTAGGGTCAAGGAAGCTGCATTTGGTAGAGGAGGAGGATGGTAAGAAGGAACCCCTTGTTGCTGCCACTGCTGGAACATGTTTATCGCCCTTCCAAGGGCCTCCTTCCACATCTGGTTGGTCTCTTTAGCAATTTGACTAGCCTCTGTAGCTATCTCAAAATTCTCTTTGTCTCTTTTTTAATTCTCTTTCTCTCTTTGCTCCTGGCATTTAATGTACTCATTGGATGCAGCAGCATCTGGGACACCAGATTTGGATTTCTTTTGCTAATAGGACCTCTTTCTGGGGGTAGGAGTCTGTTCTACAAATAAAGGTGTCAAGACAGAGGATCCACTGGTAACTGGGGATGCTTCAATAGATGATGATGCTCCAGCAAGAACAACTGATGCTCCTTCAGAAGCTACTTAAACAAGAGGGAACACCAGGCGCTGCTCCTCCAGCAGTTGACACACCAGTTGCTGCTCCTCTGGAAGTTGTGGAAGGCCCCTAAACATCCACAGTCTCACTCTAAATGAAGCCTTTTTTCATATCAAAGTCCTCCTCTCCAGTACCAAGAATGGCTTTCTGGCCAATCAAGATATGGGCCTGGTGTGCCATCCTAACATACTCTAGCATGTTTGCGTTTCCTGTGGAACTCTTGATCCTCTTAACAGCTGCATACTTAGTCTTGATGGATTGCTAGCTTCTCATGAAGGGCCAAATCATTTTGTGCTCTAACACAATGAGATCCCATTTGTCTCCAGCACTAATGGGAAGCCTGTCAAGCATTGTGCTCATGAGACTGTGTGGCTCATTGTGAGACAAGTAGTTTGCTACTCCAGCCTTCCGGCTGGTGGTTGTGTTGCTGGTGTCTGTCATCTTCTTTACTGCAAAAATAGTGTGAGGGATTGGATGATGAGCTGCCTCCTTGTTGTTGCTCTGACAATGAGCTGCCAGAGTAGTTGCTGACCCCCTCCTCTTCCTCCTGTTGTTCTTGCTCTCTTTGCTGCAACAAAGAAAGGAAGTAGTAGAATGTCCTGATCAAGACTACTGATTGGGGCATAGTTTATGTGGCACAGCGCTCAATAGAGGCACCTCTCTTTATTCTTGTTTAGGATAGATGAGTCTTAATTTTTCCCAGTTCTGTCTTAAGGTTCTGGTGCAATTTCTGTTGAATCTTTCAACAGACTCAAAATTTTGAATTGTGAGTTCCATCCTAAAATTTATTACATTTGATAGCACTAGTTTGGCCTCTATCAAACGCAATAAATTTTGTCATAGATTTGCTAAATTTTCTGTCTGTCAGTCTATCAAAAGTAGCATATATATAATAACAGGAATCACTCAATGGCAAGTTTGGTAGGTAGTAGGATAAATTAATGCTGTAATTACAGAACTATGCTAGACCATATGTCTGTGTACCATCTAAGATACATTACAATGCAATAAATGTTCCCATGCCCATTTTTGGTTGTTCTGAAAAAATGTTGTCAAGTTCATTAACACTCATGAATAGTTTTATTTACTAACCCCAAATTAAATATGACTGAGTAGAATGCATAGAATCAGTGCTACAAACTGGAAATGAGCATGGACGTGATTAAAAATTATTTTTCACACATAAAATTACACATACTGGCCAGTACTACTATTAACACAGCAAATGAATGCAATTTTGACAATGGTACAGTGCACCTCTTTCAAACAAGGGATGACTGTACAAGAAAGTTCTCTTTACTAACCAAAAATAGAGCTTATCTCACGTGAAGATGTGCAAAGGGGGTTACATTTATTTGTGAACGGAGGAAGTAATAAAAATCCAGCGGCAGGCTCATAACCTTATGCAATTAATTCATTCACGAATAGTTTCGAAAGCCACCAAAATCCATCAATATGATTATCATGAATAATTTTGGTGTTGAGTGAGTTCGTGAAATCCTCCGCATGTCGTGCTCCACGATCTACGTTGTCATCGAGGATCGATCTATCACGTCAACACGAAAAAATTCATTACATTTGTCGCGGAAACCAGAGACAATCGAGAGTAAATATGGGAAAGAGGGATAGAKGTAGTGATGCCAGTCAGAGGTCTGACAAAAGAAAGAAAAGCAAAAAAAGAGAAAAAACCGTCAAGGAAGAACAGCCTGTACTCCAAAAAAAACATGATGAGGGCGAAAGCGCCGACTCGCAAGGGATCATTGTTGATTCGATCAGATCAATGAAACAAGAGCATTCCCTGACCCAGGACTTTTCCAACTGCCTGGTAGATGAAGAAAAACCTGTATTTTTCCGAAAGCGGGCCAAGCTTTCGATTTCGTTGCTGCCCTGGTCTCTCAAGGATTGTAAGCAATCAGTTGAAAATTCTCTCCGGAAGATGATGCTAAAATTCTCCAATGGTCTGGGAGGAATATTAATGGCGTACGACAACGTTAAACTTCAAGACCATGAAGACAAATCGTCCTTGGGAAAGGGATGGATACTCAACGAACTTCCTCACGTTCATTACGATGTTTCTTGTGATGTTCTCGTGTTCTATCCTTCGATCGGATGCCAGGTAAGAAGAACCTGACCGCCGGATCATGTTCTCATTTTATGGAAGCAATGAATCTTTTGAAGAGAGTGATCTCAAATTATTTATTTTTTGTCTGTTATAATCCAAAAGTTGAAAGGGGTCGTTAACGAGTGTTTTCCTTCCCATGTGGGAATGTTAGTGTTTGGTTACATCAATGCCATGGTATCTGCAGAAACAATTCGTGAAGCCGGGTACACATTTGACGTTGATTTACAGACGTGGACAAAAGGAGGTGACTCAATCGCCAGTGGAGTCAAAATCAACTTTGTCGTGACAACAATCCATGAATGCGACGGTACTATATCACTTGAGGGTGATAAGCCTGCACGAGCTCTGTTGGTGGATACTTCCAGATAAGTATGGAAGCCGCATGGTATACTAAGACAGGTAACCAGAATCTATCATGTATGTTCAGGTAATCTTGTGTTGAGTTACATCGACTAGCTTAATAAGAAATACTGTACACGTTGTCACCATTAATTCGACAGACTAGAGGAGAGAACTCCTCTCAAATAATTTTGAGCTCTGCAACATCAAAGAATACAAATTTCATGATCATCGTGGACTCCTTTGAGTAGAATTTGACCCTCGTAACTGATCAGTCCTTTCTTTTTTGCGGCCTTCAAGGTTCCAACCAAAGCTTCGTAGTAATTTGCTACGTCGTCATCGTCAAACAGTTCACCAAATTTGACGGATTTCTTCCCTTTTTCTCCTATCCGTTTGATGTCCAGCAATAGATGTTCTATCTCTTCGTTCAATCGTCGCTGCAGGTTTTAGGAAGAAATTTACCGACGGAGAAAGTGACGAAAGAGTTTCATTGAGACTTCCTATTCAAAGCCATCCTATCCGACTTCAACAAATACACACACATAACTCACCGCTTGCTCATTGAGAATATCTTCAGAGGAAATGACGTGTTTCGTCGCATTGTGCTCACAGCGAAATGATTTATAGATAGAATTTTTTGGCTCTGATGGCGGTTCTTCTTCCACAGGACATGCTTCAGAAGATGCTGTCTCGCGTGGTTTTGGAGGATTCTTGTCAAATTTCAACGTCAAATCTTTCACTGATCCCTTTTGTATCTCCAGCATTGCGCCTCGACCCTTTGTCGCACTTTTCTTTTTCTCCTCTTCTTTCTTCTTCTCCTCTTCTTTCTTTTTCTCTTCTTTCTTCTTCTCCTCTTCTTTTCTTTTCTCTTCCTGCTCGTAAAAATCTGGTGGCAATTCACCCCTTCTGATCAGAATATCTGTGATCAATTTGTTCACCATTCTGCTCACACGGGCACGGGCTAAAATGCCGCGAAAAAACGTTTGGAGCTTGACAGCAGCAGCATACTCCTTAGGCTTTAAAGCTTTCTTCAATTTGTCAAACAATTTGAATTTCATCCTATTGCAACTTATTCCGTTCCTATCTGAAGTTTGAAAGCATCGAAGCTAGAATTGGAAGTAATAGTTTGACGAGCAATACGAGTAATTCACGCCGATAGCTGACATCCTATGGCCTTGCGACTGCTTGCAACAAATCAAACATGGACATTCGACTACCGTACGTATCGTACTGTACGGTACAGTACCAAGTGCTTCGGAATAGCGTTCTGCGAAAAAACGACTGACCGGCGAAGCCTTCCTTTATTTTACATCGAATCTTCCGCCAAAAATGGCTAGGTACCGGCCGGTACGTGGTTGTGCCTGGAGACTACAGTAATTAGTTTCAAAGCAAGATGTAAGATTTATCTACATCCGAGTAAGTACGGTACGTACGAGTACCGGTACACAAGTGTCCTTGCAGGAGTAGTGCCCATAACTTGCCAGGACGGGGGCATGACTGGTACTACTCGTACCGCACCAACGAGTGTCAGTGGTCCGAGGGCTATTGTGAGAACATTGAACACCTCAAGGGATAGGGATACAAAATCGCCAGCCATCACCAGTCACCAAACCTTTCTCGGTTGATTTTGGGATTCAGGATGTAAGATTTTTGTGATTTATTTCTCCCGAACCATTCTTTTTCGTTGTTCTTGACACTGCATGCTTCCTTTTTTCAGAAACCATTACATCATCAACTCTCGCGGTAGTGTTGCATACAATGGATTGGTTTGCATCGCTAAACCCACTCCCAAAACAACAGCAAGCAGTAATTACCGAAACAACCAATAATCGAAAGAAAAGTCACCCATAGGAACACACGTTTCCCCTCACGAAAGAATTATGGCGAAAAGATCGCACAATTATTTTCTGGAACAGCATCCTCCTCCCCCTCCGCCTCCGCCTCCGTTGCCTTCCTCGAATCCTTCCTCTCGTGATGCGGGCATTTCTAATGTTCGTGATCCACCTGGAACTTATCAGTATCTAGATCATCAACCTTATGCATACAATTACAGCTACGTCAATGAGCGTGGGCACAGTGTCCGTGGCGATTCTAGTCTTCTGTCTACTATTGCTTCGCCTTCGACTACTCAGAATATGCCGATCCCAATATTCAAAGGCCATATCAATAACAGCCATAGTGCAGCGAGCAGTAATATTGCCAACATCCAAAACAAGAATTTACAGACATGCCTACCTGTGCAGATATCACAGAGCTCCTCTGGAAAAGACTTTGCAGAGACAACGACAAAATCCGCTAAAGCTCCGATGGTCTGGACATGCAAGGCCTGCAACGTGACGCTCGAATCCGAAAAGGCATTCAAGAGCCATCGAAAATCCCACGTCAGGTGCTCGGATTGCTCCTTCGAGGGTGCTCCCAAAATTGTCAAGGCTCACTACCAGGCAACTCACGGCAAGTTTTCGGGATCGGGCTTCAAGACTATCACGGTGGGAGTCCCAGGCTGCCGTCCCCAGAAATTTAATATCTGCGTCGGCAATCGGCCCGAGGACATAGAAAGATGGATTGCGGAGCGAAAAAAGAGGTTTCCCCGAAAATCTGCTTCGGCTACGGAGCACAAGCAGGAAGGGACTAAGCAGAAAGTACACGGTGCCGAAGTAAGGACAGCTGCTCAAACAGGCCTTTCCTCTTTGCTGGCGGGATACGGATCCTCATCCGACGATGACAGCGAGAACGAAAAGAAAGTGGAAGCCGATGGCAAAGAAGGTTCTGTATCTTCGAGTCACGTTGTGGAGAATGCAGTTGGCAGCGACCATACTGAACTCAACAACAGAGAGCAGACCAACTCGGGTCCGATCCCGCCACCAGAGAAAACAAAGACGCGCCGGCCTTGTCGTTTCTTTTTCAGTAATGGCTCTTGTCGTCATGGCAGTAATTGTCGATTTAGTCACGATGTAGAAGAAGGACAGCCACTACAGAGCCATTCAAAACAAAAAAATCGAAGCCAGCCTTCCAACACCAGCAATAGGAACAACAACCACAACAGTCGAAAGCGAAAGCGCGGGGGGCATACGTCATCGGACACACTCCTTCGCAAACTTTTCGAAAATGATATGGAACGAGAATCATCCATGACAATGCAACTGCTGAAATTCATTGTCGACAACAATTTTTTCCTAGACAAGGATACCAGTGCCAGGCCAAAATAACATCGCGAAACCAATGTCCTTCCAACTGTAGGGATGAATACTAACCCAAAACGATAATATTGTGACCATCGAGTGGCCAAATGATAGGTTCTTGAACAATCAGAAGACAGGGAAGAAAATGAGGGTCGTTTTTTGCATTGCGCAACTCAAACTAATAATCTTCTCTTTTCACAGGCTGCGTATTTTTAGATGATTTTCTGAAAACAGATCGCGTAGAGCATCATTAGAACCCCAAATTACTATTACTAGTTGCTAGCGAAATCTCTAGGTGTACGTTTGTTTCTTTGATTTCGAACAAATTTTGTGATTCGCGGCTCTGTTCATTTGTTCTCCAATACATTAACCAATTTTCGGAGTAACAGAATCATTGCGCAACCGGTTGCCGCCCCCGAGAGATGGGCCACATGGTTGATTCCTGCGATGCCACCGGAAGCTGCAACCCTGAGTTCGCCGAGAAACTGACTAACGACGAATTGCCCCAACACAGCGACTTCAATGATCTTTCGCCAATCAAATAGATCCCGCCACGACAGCCTCGAAAAAATCGAGATCGAGAAGAGCCCAAACACGGCACCGGAGGCTCCCAAGCTCACGGTGTACGGGGGAAGCACCGCCAGAGAAACGAGGTTGGACACCACGCCGCAAAAAATAAACGAAAACAACAATCCGAACGAACCGAGCTCGTCCTCGACCGACCTCCCGAACAAGAGCATCAAAAACGCGTTCCCGCTCAGGTGCGTCCTGTCACCGTGACAAAAGATAGAGGTGATAGGTTGCCACCATTTCCAGTTCCGGTGGTAGAGATACATTGACCGGAAGATGGGCAGACGGAGTATGTTATCCCCGACAAACGAAAGAATACTGATCAGAATCAGAGCGTAGGCGGCGGTAGTTTTGGCTCCTGCATGTGATGTATCGATGGGGGAAGAAGTAGAATAAAGCTTCGCTAGTTGATGTCCGTTTACTCCAGTCACTTTTTTCATTGTTGTCGTCCAAGCTTTAGTTGTGGTTGCAAATGGGCCTTTACTGGCAGGAAAGCAACGATGGCGTTTAAGAGAATGTGCATCGAATTTTGCTGCTGCCACCTTTTGATCATTGATAGGAGATATTTCCGTTCCTCGACGCGAGATTGCACCAAGGGTGACGCCGCTTCTTCCAACATTTCCAAAACCATTTACCGAGGCGATAGCCGCCAACAAGATCACGATTCCTTGATATCTGTGCATCATAGTGTAGATTTTGATGGAGATTTCCAGAAACGAGTTCTTCGCCTTAGAACACAGAGGGTCTGGTATGGACTGGTCGAAAGAGTCGGCTGACTGCACTTGTAGATTGTAGATAGCACCGGAAAAACAAAAGCTGTCGGCCTGGGTTGACAGATTCGGATGGTTTGTTTGGTCTGTGGATCTTCGAATTTTTGAATTGACACGCTTCGTTTTAAATTCATGATAGGTTTGATTTGTTGTCTGAGAGATCGTGAACGACCGAGTCGTGGTTACATATGTAAATTCGTGACTGACTGCAACAGACTGACTCATGGTTCTCTTTCAAAAACAAAAAATATGGTTCGGTAGTACCGGTAGTACTCGACCAAAACTGTACGGTACAAGTCCCACGGTACTCTAACTCGTCTAAGCCACAGCTACAGTACGTACGAGTACGTACCTGTACCGTAATTTACTTTGTTGTCGTATCGCATCGCACGGTACTCACTCGTACCGTAGGTAGGAAACCTCGAACACGAACCGTCCAACACGTACGCGCAGTAGTCTACTGTACCGTATGGGAGGGGAGATAGGTGATAGAATATGAATACTGTATCCCCAACACGAAGCACAGATAGTTGTTGTATCAGTATCTCTGTCAAGAAGCGTTGTAACCCCAATTCTGTCACAATCTCATCACGAATCAGCCAACTTCTCTTGTTTTAGACACAGGAAGCACGCATTTACCATGGGAGAAGAAGAGAAACAACCGAAACGACCCTCCACGGTCGACTTCAAAATTGATGAGAGTGCCGAATCAACAAAAAAGAGGCCTTCTGTGAAGAGAGGGATGTCGAAACGGAAAAGTCTTCGCGCTAGCTTTTTGCGATTGAAGAGTTTGAGTTTTCGAAGGTGCGTGCATTTCCTGCTTGGGCAATGGCTCAAAGTAGCGATCGAAGCGGGAAACCTAGAGTTTTTGCCACTGTTCTTGTTTTCACTTGGTTTGAGATCCAACAGCCGTACACATGGCATGTTTTCTTTTCTATTTGCGTCCTTCCAAACAGATCCGGGGGTGAGAGAGGAGCTGACATCGACACGCTTCGCGGAACACACGGACCCGAGTTTGAGGGATATGCCAAGATTAATCGCAGCGGCGGTGCGGGTATCTCGTGCGGTTGCTTCGGTGGGAGCGGCGATACGAAGGAAAAAATCATTCTCATTAAGGGGGCCTACTGCTTTGTATTTGTAAATGAGAGCGATCCGGCGCCGAAATATGCGATTGCCTGTGCGCACATGAAAGCAAAAATTCATTCTCCGTCGCACGGCGTCCATCCCGTTACGATTGAAACCGCGCTGGGAGACGTCGAATGGGACCTGACATTTCAGCAAAAGCAAATCGCAAAACAGTTTGCGGACGCCTTCAAGAAACAGGCCGCGGTTGGCGAGTCCGACGAAGTCCGAAAGGTAATATGACTGTTGTGTGTAATTTCGTGCATTCGCTTTGAACAAGGTGTACCATTTCCAGACCATTGTTTCTCAAACGACCGTTCCGCGTTGCTCTCTGACATTTCTGGTCGATCCCATTAGCGCCTTGGCCACGACAAATTGCTCAATAAGCGGGGCTCCGTTCGATATGCGGAAGCCATCGCAGAAAAGAAACTCGAAGAACAACCCGAAAAGAAAGAGAACGTGTTGTTGGAAGACGTCAACCGGATTGAGCCCATGATGGCGGGGTGTTAAAAAATATATTAATTACGGTACCGACAATTCTAGTATTGAACTGTCGAGACGAATGGTGGCGAATAAGCTGGCGGTATAGTAAACAATGAAAGCAATTAATATAGATAGTGAGCAAGAAGAACTTTTTATAGGTTGAATAATTTAATTACTTAATTGTCATGTTGACGCGGTAGAAGTATTCCAACAGTTTAACGAAGCAAATATTAGGGACATATTGTGGAAGATGTCACTTTTTTTCCCATAGAGAGGCCTAGGTTTTGTGACCAGCAACCGATACCAAGTCTGTAAAATAAAGAAGAAACATCGGAAAGAGAACTTTGTTAGCACAAACAATAGTTCTGTAGACTCATTAATTTCCAGTACCTCTCTGAACTCTTTATCCACAAAGACAGAAAGACTTCGAACGAACAAGAGATATAGTATCCACTTACTAATGCAATAACGATTGCCTTTTCTGTCGGGAAGATTATGCCCCAAATGTGTTCCATCTTTAATCGTGAGCATTTTAACAGGCAAAAATAATATAAATACAAACGGAAAAATATTATCGAACATGAAGCAGGAAAGATAATAGAGTCAGACAGGACTTTCAGCTCATGATAGCAACATCGGCATACCAAATATCATTCAATGGCACGATTTTCTCGTGGGACAAAGTGAAAACTCATAGAAAGCTGAAAAAATCCATAACTTACCTACTGAAACGGTTTCGCCATCAGGCAACACACGAACATTTTCCCAGTTCGTTTCTGCATCCCTAAAGGAAGGCCAACCATGAGCCCTGCTTTCGATAAGAAAGTCATCCATGGTGCGACCAATTGGTGCCGTGAATAGAAGCTTTCCTGTGTTCGAGTCAAAAAATTCGAGGTTTGAATTAGCCTTAGCATCAGCAAGAAATTTAGGCTTCCCTTCGTAGTATCCGCTGTGTTCAGCATAGTGTCGATTATAATTGCAAATATTGCTCTTTATGCACGAAAACGGTCAAGGTTTGATTGATAAAATGAAAAGGAATATTGAAGGTGAGATAAACCATAGAATTCGACTACTGAAAAAAACAATTTGGTTCTGTCTTTTTTCACTTACTGCTGTCTTCTGGTCGCAACCCCAGCGGAGATCGGATTGCACAGGACTATTATTCGATGAGAACAACGACATCAACAGAAATCGAAAGAAATTTTTAAGCAAAAGATCGTTAGAAAAGGATGCCACAACAGGTGCACCTGCCTCGGATCGACGGGACAAGATATTTTTTATTTCTTATTGCGAATCGTGATTACTTACACAGCAGAAGTACCATGCGCCTTCTTCGACATGATTGACTCATCACCCATGACGACTGGTGGACCAAACTTATTACCCATGATGAATGAAACTGATGTTTTTGATGTGGTGTGAATTCCTATTAATTGTTCTGATTTGTATTTTTGAAATTGTATTTTGTGACATCTTTCGCATGACTTCTCGAGGGCTGACTAGGGTGCGAAGAGAGAGAGAGATGCGAATAAACATCGCTCGTGTTCAAGTTGGAGTTGCGGACCGAAAACTATTATTTCTGCGCGGGCAGTTTCGAGCTAATGCACGGCAACTGTGACTTATAGAAGTATTAAAGGCAAGTCCCGTAGTGGCAAGTTATTGGCAATCCCCGTACAAATACTAATAGAAATTTTTAGCTCATTTTTACAGTTAAAACCAGTTAAGAAAGGCATCCAACGGACGAAAATAAAAATATTTCCATTGTTTAATTTCTCGCTGGTCCTAAAATATTTCTATT